CAGTCTAAGTGGCCAGGGACTGCCTCCTGAGCCAGGCCTGCCAGTATGCATGCCTGCTCCACACCCTGTGAGGCTTCTAGTGTCGGGCATCTCACCCAGGCCTCCTCTACCCCGGACATGTCCCTGACAACTACTTACCTGAAGTGGAAAGATGAGAAGAAGGCTACTTCTTCGGTTCCCACTTCAGGTATGTTTATATACATGCAGCTTGGGTCACATGACAGATGCCATGTCACCCTCGCACACAGCGGTAACCACCCAGGTGTCTCCATGGGAGATCCCAAGGGCATCCGGTGCAAGCACACATGCTGGGCATAGTGGGAAGTCACCTGAGGTGCCCAGGTCGGGTGTGTTGTGGGCATGCTGTGGGTGGGTCAATGGTACATTGATACGAAGGAAGGTCGTCCATTGTAAGGGATTAACTATAATTCCGATTATAGTGATATTGTCAGGGTTCAGCACCCTGCCTTAGGGTGCCCCGGACTCCCCACCTACTTTACCCCCTTTTATTCTTTGACTGTTGCCTTGTTGTTGCCTTTGTGTGTTGTGTACACGTGCGCACGGGATAGCGCGGGAACTTTCTGAGCGAGCAGCTCGCCCAGAATGTTCCCATGGGTCACAGCCACAGTTCTGGGCGAGCAACTCGCCCAGAACGTTCCCACACTTACTGGGCACTGCCACCTGGATGTTCCCTCCGGGTCACACTACACAACTCTAGGAGCTGTATAGTTGTGGGCATGTGACCCATTCCTTTATATAGCAACCATGCGGGGAGATGAGACCTTTACCCTTCTTCTCATCTCATGCCCCGCATAGTGTGAGGACAGGCTAGATGGGGGTTGAGGTCAGGGAGCCTCCGCGTCCGAGGCCGGGCCCTGACAGATATTTATATTATGTTGCATCACTATAATTCCCATTATAGTGATGTGGTTATTTCTTTATTTATTTGTGCCGAGATATGTAAATTACATATATATACCTCGGAGTAGTTGTAAAGGCCCGGTAGCCTTTTACCTCTACCCCATTGAATATACAGCTCATCAAAGCTTATGTTTAGACGGACCTACTAAGGCCTGAGGCGAACAGGGGAATGGAATGTTACCATCCCCAAAATAGTAAGCAACCTTTCATCCATGTAAAATAAAGAGGAAGTAGAATAGGAAGAAAGTGAGGAAACAGAGAGGAGGAGGGGGAAGGGAAAAGGAGGTGGTGGTGGATAGCAGGGTACCAGGTCAGGTGGGGCCGGGTGGAGCCGGGTCAGGTGGGTGTGCCCTGACACAAAGGGGGTTACAGAAGCGGAGCAGTACCGAGGGTCATGGGTTAGACTCTATGGTACATCCGAAAGGAGGTAAGGGGGGCAAAGCCCAGAGGGGCAGGAGGATGAGGTGAAGTGGGGATGATGACTAACTGGCTAAATGGAAAGAAGCAGTAGTCCAAATAGGGATGAGGGAGAAGTGTGAAAGATACAGTACAAGTGTTAGAACCGGGCAGATTCAGACGACTCCGGAGTGTTAGCGTGGAAGGACCTCGGCCTCAGCGACTCAGGCGGAGCGCTGTGCCATTGCTGGTTGTCCTGGGGGTCCCTAATTTCGGATCTAGCAGAGGGAAAGTCTCTTGGGGGGAATTCAAGTCGATTTCGGACTGAGGTTACAAGTTACTAGGTACATTGTATATAAGGAGGGGTCCGGAATCAAAAGGAACAAGGGTAGGACGAAAGGAGACAAAGGGAGATGGAAAGAGGAACAACACCGAGGGTCAAGTGTTTGACTCAATGGTGTTTCCCAAAGGAGGAATGAAGGGCCAAGGCCCAAGGAGGAAGGAAGGAGGATGGGAGTCGGGAATGGCTAGCTAACTGAATAGAAGGAAGCAGCAGCCCAAATAGGAATGAGGGAGAATAGCGGAATTGAAATGGACAATGCAATAGTTGCAAGGTCCGGAGTAAGTCCGGAAAGTCCGAACTCGGAGGTTAAACTCCAGAATATTGGCAAACGTAATTAAATGGAATGAGCTAACCAATACAATGGGTATAAGCAGAGGTGGGGTCAAAGTCTGAGGTCAGAGCTAAGACTGGAGGTTCCGGAGACAGAGATGCAAACAGGATTCCGGAGTGGAGGTCCGGAGTCGGGAGCATAGGTGTTGGATACTCATCTGGAAGGTGTCGAGGTTGGGGTCGGACCCGGAATGTTCTGGAGTCGGACCGAAGGTGGTGTTGGAGCCGGAGGTGGGATAACCTCTTGGGAGTCAGCAAGGAGAAGGTGACAGAAGGGAAGTAGGGCTCCGGAAGTCAGGTTCGGAGTTCCGGGAGTGTCAGGGCCCGGCCTCAGACGCGGAGGCTCCCTGACCTCAACCCCCATCTAGCCTGTCCTCACACTATGCGGGGCATGAGATGTATAGTAAAAGAAAGGGAATATATACACTTGCCTATGCGGGGCATGAGATGAGAAGAAGGGTAAAGGTCTCATCTCCCCGCATGGTTGCTATATAAAGGAATGGGTCACATGCCCACAACTATACAGCTCCTAGAGTTGTGTAGTGTGACCCGGAGGGAACATCCAGGTGGCAGTGCCCAGTAAGTGTGGGAACGTTCTGGGCGAGTTGCTCGCCCAGAACTGTGGCTGTGACCCATGGGAACATTCTGGGCGAGCTGCTCGCTCAGAAAGTTCCCGCGCTATCCCGTGCGCGCGTGTACACAACACACAAAGGCAACAACAAGGCAACAGTCAAAGAATAAAAGGGGGTAAAGTAGGTGGGGAGTCCGGGGCACCCTAAGGCAGGGTGCTGAACCCTGACAGGGAGCCCGGAGCAGAGGTCAGGATTGTATGGATATGACAACAAGCGGCAAAAGTGCCAAGAACAGTCCATGAAGCTTGGAGGTAGTGGAGCTTATGGAGGTGTCAGGGTTCAGCACCCTGCCCTAGGGTGCCCCAGACTCCCCAACCAATCCCTTCCTTCCATTCCTTCATTGTTGCCTTGTTGTTGCCTTTCTGTGTTGTGTATCTGCGCACACGGGATAGCGTGGGAACTTTCTGAGCGAGCAGCTCGCCCAGAATGTTCCCACGGGTCACAGCCACAGTTCTGGGCGAGCAACTCGCCCAGAACGTTCCCATGCTTGGCACTGCCACCTGGATGTTCCCTCCGGGTCACACTACACAACTCTAAGAGCTGTATAGTTGTGGGCATGTGACCCATTCCTTTATATAGCAACCATGCGGGGAGATGAGACCTTTTACCCTTCTTCTCATCTCATGCCCCGCATAGTGCGAGGACAGGCCAGATGGGGGTTGAGGTCAGGGAGCCTCCGAGTCCGAGGCCGGGCCCTGACAGGAGGTTATGGAGTTGGAGTTGGAAGTCTGAGGAATATTGGCGATGGGGTTTACGTGAAATGAGGTCACCAATGCAATGGACTTAAGCCAAGGTGGAGTCAAAGTCTGAGGTCAGAACCATGATGGAATCTTGGAGCGAAGGCATGAGCAGTGCCCAAGTACAGGGTATGGGATGGCAGTGGAAGGTCATAACTTGGCAGAGGTTGGCAGAAGAAGAGGAGTGAGGAGAGGAGTGAGATGGGAGAGGAGGGTGATGTCAGGTCCGAAGGTGGGTATCAGAGCAGACAGAGATAGGGTAGGACTCCGGAGGTGGTGAAGTGGAGGGTCTGGAAGTCGAATTGGGATTGGGTATGTACAGATATGACAGTTACTCAGGTCACTCAGGTTGTTTACTGACTGAGGAGCAAGTGAGTATGTACAATTGTCTATATATAAGGGGAGATGGAAGCATGAGAAACAAAGGGGGTCCAAAACAGAACAAAGGTGTCCAAACAGAGACAAAGGGAAATACAGATGGGGAACTACACCGAGGGTCAAGGGTTAGACTCTATGGTGTGTCCGAAAGGAGGTAAGGAAGGTGAGGGCCCAGAGGGGCAGGAGGATGAGGGGAAGTGGGGTGGATGACTAACTGGCTAAATAGAAAGAAGCAGTAGTCCAAATAAGGGTGAGGCAGAAATGCGAAGTATACAATAAAGTGGCGAAGGAGCCAGGGTAGGTCCGTGAAGCTTGGAGGTAGCAGAGCTTATGGAGGCAGGATTGGAAGTCTGAGGAATATTGGCAATGGTGTTTGCATGAAATGAGGTCACCAATGCAATGGACTTAAGCTGGAGTGGAGTCAAAGTCTGAGGTCGGGACCAGGATGGGATCTTGGAGTGGAGGTACAATCAGTGTCTGAGTTTGGGGTATGGGACAGGAGTGGGAGGTCATACCTTGGCAGAGATTAGTCAGGAGAGAATCAGGAGGAGAGGAAGGTGGGGTCAGATCCAAAGGTGGAGATCAGAGCAGACGGGAATAGGGTAGGACTCCAGAGGTGGCAGAAAGGGGTCCGGGAGTTGAGTTGGGATCAGGTATGTACGGATATGACAGTAGCCTGCCATATTTGGAAAGCTCACTCATGTGAGGGGGGGTTGGCCAAAGTTTGGAAAAACATGTAACTGGCATACCTTTCTGCTCAACACCCCCTTGGTCATCAGAGCAAAGTGTTGCATGCTGGTTTTCGGAGTAGATGATTGGATATGAGCCTCTTAACCCCGTTACATGTGACTGTTTATTTGTATTGAAAAGTGTATTGAGCTGATTGAATACTTGAAAACTGTATTAAGCTCATTGATTGCGGATTCATCCGGAGAACGTGACTTCTGAATTGTAATACAAAGGGTACTTGGTTGTTTTCTAACATTTTGCAGCGCGCATCCACGAGCGGAGACGGCTGGGTACGAGTCTGGGCCGGAACCGATTTGTGGTGAAAAACCAGACAAAAGCGGGTTCTTTACTTCCCACATTGGATTCGAATATTGCATGCCACACGGCTGAGGCCAACAGAACATTTGCGACGCTCAAGCCGTGCTTCTGAGTGCAAGATGATCGCCAAGAACCATAAGGGAGGAACAGATGAGCATTACAATTTCAGGTGCCATGGACAACAGGAGACCGATAAGATGATGGTATAGGAGGGGATAGGTGAACGTGTCTAGATACTCGAGTACACACGGAACAGCCAATGAGAACTATCGAAATGATACGCCGAGAAATGAATCCTCTCCAGGGAGAGATGGGTGCATGAAATGATACGACTCCATCTGCTCATATGAGATGGAATTACGTGAAAATTGATCAAGGGAGGTTGGGGGAATTCAATGCTCAATTGGGAAGACTCAAGACTCAAGCCCCCGAGCCCGTTTCGCTATTCAGCGAAGCAGCAACGCTCTTACAAAAGAGCATCACCTGTATTTCCTGTTCTCCGTCGTAATACCAAGACGCTACCGCCTACACGAAATGTATCGTTACAACCACAGACGTCAAACCCAAAACAAAACAAAACAAAAATCAGTGAGTGGCTTTAAGTGAAGAAAGTCCCGAACGTACGATCATGATGTAGAATGAAATCATAACGAATCCTTCGGCCCAATTCGTCTTGGAGTCATCCGTGACCGTGTTGACGAGGAAGCAGGCCCCAATGGCCAACGCCACCTCAAATCGATCTAAAGAATTCAGACCCCAACCGAAAGGCAAAGGGAGGGAAAGTCGTTCAGTAAAGGGGCCTGGGAGCACCACCCCCAAATACCGATTCCCCAATGGGCCACGTACCAAATAACAAAAACAGGGGCTTGTTCTGCCACCATGCAAGCAACACCAAAAACGGCATCCAAAACAACGCAAACTGTATACTCAAATCGATCGTCCGTGCCTTGGCAAGTTCATCAGGTGGTCCTCCAACGCTTCTTAAAAACGCCTTTCGGATGAAGTACAGTATCGTGACGAGCGCCGATCCCGAGTAGGAGACGACAGGGAGGAGGATGAGTCCAAACCATTCCTGTTTAATTCCCGACGTCTCGCGAATATGTTCAAGGCTTTCGACGAGCTATAAGTTGCGGTTTGGACGAACACACAATCGTCGACATGGAAGTAAAAAAAAAGACGGCAACGAGAAAGAGAACGTACGAATTCAGCAGTCACAGCCGTTAGAGGAACAACAACCGCGAACACAATCAAAGAAGACCAAGGATTCATTTCCGCATCTTCTTCCTCTATTCTTGCCACTTTTTCCTTTAATGCTTGTGGAGCATTGTCCGTGAGTCTTAGGGCGTTTCCCTCTCCAGGTGGGTTGTGAAGGTATATTCTGCTCCCGATATCTAATCCAAGAATGAGCGAGAGGAGAGGGACCGTCAGGCCAAGTTAGTTATCCAATCTGAGGGGGAAGCAAAAACAAAACTTGACTCCACTTACATCTACAGATAGAGCGATGGTCAGGATTCTATGCCATTCATTCATTTACTCGTTTGTAGAAAGAGTAAACTCACATGACGAGTAGAATAACGGCCAACCCTCTACTTAACCTCAAGAAATTGTCCCTTGAAGCATCGCTAACAGGCTCGACGGAACCAGGCTGAAGGACCCCTGCCAGTTTTGAAATTTCTCCTATACGTTTCCTGAGAACGACCGACTCAGAGGAAGTAGGCGTAGCATGGTTGCCTATGATAGAGGAGAAGAACGCGGCTGGGATTAGGAGGGTCAAGACGCTGGTTAGGGCGGGGATTGAGTTTGATTAGGAAGATGCAATAAATTGACGAACGCCATCCAACGCACCCAATCGTAAGTAGCTGGCGAACGGAAGAGAAGCCAAATTTAGAAGCACGAGGTATTTCAATGAATTGAACGACATACCGATGAATTGAGTTCTGTAACATGTGGGTCAAGGTGCTGATGCAAGACTTTAGCACCTCCCGTTATGAAGGCTACACCCTGTGCAGTGAGAACATGAGTGTATCCAGGCCATCGTTGTGTGACATGGGAGAACGGGATCATGAAACTTACCGGTACGAGCAAAAGATGAAGCAATAATACCCCAACAACCGTACTCTGAGCTAGACGAAGGTCGCATCTAGAAACAAGGATAATGGCCAAACTGGCTTCCACCACACTGCGGAATAAAGGGTTACGAGTGAGTCCTATACCCCAAAATGCCCGTTCGCAGTCGCAGTGAGATTAAGTTTACGCACTTGTCCAAAGTGATAGTAATCAAATCGCCAAGAGAATGACCGCAATAATGTGCGAACGATTCACCCGCATACTCGAGTATTTTCTCGAGAGACGTTATGGCCAAGAGCGAGACTATTATTTGGTACAAAATGTGTGCATGTCAAACGCCGAGTGTATCGTTGTGTCGCCATTTGTAATAACAACGAATATATCAATGCGGTACCATTAAGAGTGGCAGTTAGTAAGAGACGTACGTGCAAAGGTAGCGCTCCTGCTCCAATGCGAGAAGTGTGATATCCAAGCGAGTGGAATGAACACGATGAGCCAAGAAAGCGCTTAAATAGACGACGCCGTTGCAATTGCAAGGACAAAAAGTGACTGATGTCAGCACGGTGTTCTTCCGATGCGCGCTTACACACAACCGCCGTGATGACGCGTGCCAAGACGAGAGAAACATACCTGAACTAAAGATCACATTCTTGAAACTCTCCACCCATCCTGGTACACGGTTCTTGTGTTCACCCTTCAATCGTGACCAAAAGGCCCTCAGATTACCGACACCACCACTTGGGCGGTCCCAGTGTGAACCTGGCAATTGGAGATGGGGATCTTCATGTTGAGCCTCCAGCGCACCTGGGCCAGCAGTGTGCGTGTTTTCCGGCCGTGTGAGTTCCGCAGTACCACGTCGTGAGGATGAAGGTTCTTCTTGCAAAGGGGGGAGTTGTTGGGAATTGACAAGTGACTGCATCTCGAGGTTGACGGAGGAAGAAGAGGACGGCTGAGAGTGTTGGGAGTGCGAATACATACAACTACTTAAGCAGGAGCCCAGCAGCGATCCTCACTTTGAGCTTAGCACTGCCTTGCTTGGGGAAATGCCTCCAAACACACTCTGGGCTGAATATATCCTTGGCATGACTAAATGGAGCATCGCATCCGTTCACGTTGATATTGCGAGGCGCACGAGAGCTCAGACTGAATGGGTTACGGAATCCCAGAACCGAATTGGCGCCGGGAACATCAAATTTCGACGCGGACCCGCCACGCCGCGTCCGTCTGGAGGGCTGGCGACCTCAAGGTGGGAACAGGGTGTGACTAGCTACCATCTATGGTGGACCCGCCAATCAACATCAACATCAAGCAAGCAACAAGCCACCATCACAAACAGTGCACCAAATGCATGAACAAACAAATAATAAAAAAAGATAATTTAGAATGTAGTTCCAAGAACCGTATGCGCACGCATCAAGCTGGAGATGGACCTGGGGCGCCGCCACTAGCACCGGGCAAAGGACTGGATCCTTGTGCTGGAGTATGTTGCGCTTGCTGCTGTGAATGCTGCGCCTGTTGAGCCAGATTCTGCTGCTGATTCATTCTCTGTCGCATTTTAAGAGCACCGGAATTCAGCGGGTCACCATCAGAACATGAATGCAATATCAAACACTCACCCAAATGGCTTGTTGTAAATTAACAGCATTTTTAACAGCCTCGGGCGTTAATTGCCCATGATGCAAAGCCAACGATCGATACTGTTCAGGCGTCAGTTGAGCTAATCCTGGCATGCCTCCTGCTCCTACTCCCGGCACTCCTGAAGTACCAAGCCCAGCAGAATGAACTCCCGAACCTGTCGGATGACTACTGGTCCCAGGAGGAACACGATGCGTGAAAGGAAGCGCTGCGGCTTGAGCCTGAGCAGGGTTCAGGCCAGTCGGTAGGGTTTGCACAGGTACAGGGACCGGAACCGGAACGCCTTGAACGCCCTGAACGCCCTGAGCGTTTGGTACGGGTGGTTGAGAGATTGCTGCCGAGGATGGACGTTGAATTGGAGGTGATGCCTGTCCGCCTCCACCTCCACCTCCATTACCACCCCCAGCTCCAATGGCTCCATTCCCACCGTTGTTCCCGCTGCCTGGAGTCGGGGAGGAAGAACTTGCAGACTGTGATACCCCTCCTTGGACCGAGACCCCGACGGGGAGGTGCGCAGGTGGACCGTTCATACCCGCTGATTGTTGGGATGGCTGTTGAGCTTGTTGCTTGTTGTTGGCTGCTGTTGAGCAAGCTGCTGTGGAGATTGTACCAACTGTTGCGCCCGAAAAGCAGCGATTAACTCATCAGATTCTCTAATAAGTCAAGGACCACAAACCTGAGGACCAAGAAGTCTGGCTTGAGCCTGAGCTTGAATGATTGCCTGTTGCTGTTGCGAAGGCGTCATACCTGGGCGCAACAAGGGTTGACCAGGTGCTCCTCCTGCCCCTCCACCTGAAAGTCGTGGCGTTTGTGCTATATTGGTACGGGTTGCATCGGCTGACCATTTCGTGGGACCTATTGGGTTAAAAGAGATCCAGTAAAAACGTACCCAGCTACAAAAGTACTGAAAGCGCGACCCACCTGCTGTCGCGCGAAATCGTGTCGCCGTCGTTCCATTGCGATATGCTGCTGGAGCAACTGATTGTCCTTCTCGTACTTGAGCCTGGCAAGTTCGGCTGGTGTATGGACTTTTTGTTGAGCCGCAACTTGATGCGTGTCATGGGCAATCGGAGTAGGTCTCTTCATTGCCTCTAGAAAAATTGAATTTCAACCCCGAAGAGGAATATCAATTAACCAACCCAGCCTAGATCGAAATGAAAACACTCACGCTGAGGTTTAGAGTCCCTCTTCCTAGCCGTCTTCCTCACAACTTCATGTAATAACGCATGTCGAATATTCCTCTTGCTGAGCCCTCCATTCCTGCTCTGCATCACTGGAACGGACTTCCTATTAGCCTTCCCAACAAAACTTTTCATACCCCCTGCACCTCCTGCAGCATTCGTATCAGGGGTCCCCTGTCGCCCAGCCTCTTCCTCGTCCCTGATCTGGATCCACCTCTGCCAAACATCCCAAGGTAACCTCAAATCTGTATCGATCGTAAGTCGAGACGAATTAAATACATCTGCAATAATGAACCAGTTGAGTCCAAATTGGTTCACGAGGGAGTTTAACAAGGCGTCATCTTCGGGTGTCCAGGTAAATAGGGAGAGTCGGAATTCCTTATCTGCCGGGTCGGGGGGGACAGCGAACGCATTTGGATGGACATGATCTCGGGATTTTGAGCCGTAGAACATAGCTAGACGAATGAACCTTGTCAATCAACATGCACTGGGAATTTCACGAACTAACTCACGAGCCGCTGGTGGTGCAGAATCTGATTTACCCTCCTGTCCATCTCGAGATTCATCGGTGACGGGGGTCTCACTGAGTGTATCCCATATCCCATGACGATACTTCCTTCCAGGATGAAGTGAGCTAACAAGGATGTTTTTCGAATCCATTATCCGTGACGCGAGAGTCAGCCTTCCAACTGACATGCCTGAATCGTCCACACGTCGGCTTTTCTTGTCGTTCGGATCTCCAGTTGGAGGATCTGAGAAGGAGAAAACATCTAATTCAGGGAAGAGATTGGGAAGTGAGATTGAATCGCGATCAGGTGTGTAGGATGCTCGTTCGTCGATGGACAGCGAATTTTCAATCATTCCGGAGAGATCGATGAAAGTTTCTTCGAGGTCCACATTAAGTATTGGGGTTCGGAGCGTCTTTGGATCGAGGATACTGAGGGCCGTTGAGGACAATGGAGCATTTTCAGCACCAGGTCGTAATGCAGAGGGACCCCTTGAGGGTGCCCCTCCATTTGGTTCCACAGGGACGCTTCCCTTGGCCTCTGGTTGGGCGACGGGTAAAGGTTCTGTCACATCAGGTATCCCGAGAGGTTCAACGGCATCATTTTCACCCTGGGCAGTTGGACCGGCGTCAGCATCACCTTCCGCTCAGCCTCGGCGTCAACTTCCCCTTCAGCATCAGTCTCAGCTTCAGCATCTACTTCACCTTCAGCGTCTTCCTCCATTTTTGTGTCAACATCAGTGATCTCCATAACATCCATCACTTGTGTGGCTTCCTCTGGTGCCTTCTCCTTCTCCCGGGCATGAGCCTCAAGGTCCTCGGCAGCTTCTTTTACAGCAGTTCCAGCGTCCAGCGCCGCTTGTGCTTCGACAGCCTTAGCAGCCGCTTCGTCGTCATCGCCGTCATCGTCATCGTCGTCGTCATCATCATCATCATCATCATCGCCATCATCGTCATCATCCACGATGACGCGACTCCGATGCTGAACAGTAACAGTGGTCCGTGTTCGCCTCTGTGAGCAATTATCACCGTTCAACTCCATACGCGATGCAGATTGCTTTGGTTCACGCTCAGAGTCAGCCATATCTATTTCCATGACCTCTTCTTTTACGCGGTCAGCATCGAGTTCGTCATGTGTTCGAGGGATTCGCCATCCAACAGAAAGCTCTCTCCGTTTTTCGGGTGTGGCATGATGCCACTCCAACGCAGAATGTGCAAGCTGGAAGGCAATGGATAATTTCCATTTACGTTCCTCCTTGAAATCAACTTGCATCCATTTCTACAGGAGTTGTCAATGAGATTGAGGTGATCAATGCAGAGACATCACTTGCCATCTCGTCTAGGAGGTAATCGTGATGCGTCTTGTACAATGTAGGGCCCTTTTGCTTTTTCGGCTGGCGGAAAGTCCACAACCCGGCTGCTTTCAGCTCATTAATACGAGCCATAGTCTTCGTATACCGCAACTCATTAAACATGACCTATGTAAATGAAGTGAGTACCTAACCGCTGCCTTGGGGACCGACGATACGCACATGCCACTCCGGAGTAGTCAAACACTTATTGGCTTTCTTCACCAACCGCACGGTGGGATTCACAATCATAATGGCTTCCCACTTGTTCAAATCAACAGCGGCAGTGCCATTTACTGTCCACCTCTTGGACTCTTTCTTCTCCTTCTTTCTCTTCTTCTGAGCTTCAGGTGGCGGAAGAGGATATAATGATGCCGCATAGTCCGTGATTAGAGGGTAAATACGCTCGTCAATGACCAGTTCAGCATCTGGTGGAGGTGGTGGCGGCTCATACCAACCTCCTCCCATGTTTAGGGATGGCTGAATGGGTGTATAAGACGGTGGGAGAGAGACGGTGGGATGAAGAGCTGGAAACCTCGGCGCTATGGTTGGTTCGGACAGCGGAGGCGATTCTTCCTTAATTCCCATTGGCGAAACCTGCGGGATAAATTCGGGGGTAAAAGGATACTCTGGCAATTCCTGTGGAGGAGAGGATGAATGAAGGATACTGTCAATGTCTGGTGACAATACTTCGTCAGGAGGTCCGGCTGAGGGAAGAGGGGAAAATGGTGGTGATGTAGGAGATAGCGATGCTTCGTGAGGGCTATATGATGAATGTCGAAGCGGAGAGGGTTCCTGCATTGCTTCTTCCTCGTCAACGAGTGCGTTTGAAAGTAGCAGATCGCTGATCGATGTGTCACCGCTGCGGACAGAAAATTAATGACTTTGAAGAAACACAAGGGGTCCCACATACGCCTTTGCTAACGAGTACCTGTCTAAGAAGCTCTGAAGTTCCGGTGGGTCTTCACCAGCTCTTGCGATCGCGGATGGAGGCAAAGTCATAGTTGTCTTGGTCTGCATGACATGATACAAATCTCGCAATATGCTGCGTTGGTTGTCGGCGAGTCTCCTAAGAGTGTAATAACGGCATGAGCGAGCTTCACTCGCCACATTGATTGGAAGTCTCTCTCACTCTTGCGCTTCTCGTCTAGGTATTAAGGCCAGCTCTCGTAGCTCTAGTGCATTGCAGGTCGCTTCTGATATCTTCAAATGTTCATTGAGGGTAATAGCTCTCTGCGACTGCTGTGACATGGACTAGTTTTCGATGCGGCCTGCTCGCTGGTCTGCCCGGCTATTCCCGTGCCTGGTGTTGAATCATGATTGCCTTTTTCGGACGATGTTGGCCATCTTCAGATCGCTATCCCATAACTCATTTGATTGAGCATTTCCAATGATTCTTGCCATGTGCACGCCTTGTCAATAACATTGGAGCCTACCTAATACTCATCATAACGCCAGTGTACTACAACCACAACCTGGACCAGAGATTTGGGCTGCATGCTGGACCACGGATCACTGACTTGAGGGCGGTTTGATCTATGGAGCCACATTTCCAGAGGTTCCTAGTATGGGGAAGATTTTTGTGACTTATGTGGTCTACGCAACGTATGCTCGGGGCCAAAACGCCCAACGCTCGACAGGAAACAACTCCAAGAGCCAGGGATTCTACTTTGAAAACTCCACTGTTGCGTGATTTATTCTCCTTGCTCATATGTCCTCAGGTGTTGGAGAGAGGTGGCCAATTTCCAATTCATGACTATCACAAAAACCACTGGTGCTGAAGATAGGTTGTTTTGGCGTAAGGTAAGACTCTCCAACCCTCGCACAGGACGCGACCAGATGGGGGGAGTATGCCTTGTGTATATCACAACCAGGTCCGCATTGGTTGTTGTGTGCCCCAAGACTAGACATGACCGACATTTGCACTCTGCGGTCGAGATGCCACACGACGCTCACATCTTCGGATCGTCTTGAGGGGGTATGGAGCTGACATTGTCGGTGAGCCGAATTCTGTCTTTGCTGACTTCCCGCTGGGGCAGCCGAGGACATGGTATGTCCTTGTAAAGTTCCTAACATCATCGCAGGTTCCATGCCACAATATCCAGGCGCTGGTGTTGTGACCGGTGCGGCAAGTTCAATTCGCCTCACCTGACCGTAGGCTAGATTGTAGGACGCTCTTGTCTATCCTGTGCTCTATTAATCTAGTAGAAGCTGGACATCCTCCGGCTCCGCATGAATGGCTCGATCAGGATGGATCCGCTATCACAACTACTGTGACAACTCATACACAAATCTTCTGTTGATGTCTACAATGATTCGGCTCCCACACTTCCTCTACAAAACAGAGCGGGCGTAACAGGTGTTTGTTTACTATTATGGTTGTAATTATGTCTTCAAGATCAAAAATTGGAATGCGGAAATGGCTCCGGAGGAGGCTACCTGTGTTCTGCGGCCCGGTGTCCAATATCGATCTCTCTCTTTCATTAATCCCTTTCTCAATCCAAATCGGCTGGCAAGAAATGACATAAAAGCGCATCAGGTGGAATGGCGACGCATCTTGATCTCGAGATTTCGAGCCATAGAAATAGATGAAAGAAGGGCTTCATCAATTACAAAATCGGCTTGCTGCTCCTAGCGAATCGCAGACACATCCGATTCTCCACGGATGTCTCGAGAGGATGATACCCGCGGGTTCTTATGAGGGTAATTATGGGGATGTAACTTCTATCTTCCCAGTTAGCACCAAAGTAAATATTAATCCGTGATCTCCATCCAGATCAGCAACAAGCCAACCATGCGGTAGCATCAACTCTTCGATTGTTACTGTGAAAGCGAGCGGACGGATGATCCAGTAGCGAAATAGATATATATCGGTAAACACTAATTCCCAAGTTTTGAAAATTGATCTGAACCTTCTCAAGCTCCGTACCCGCGGGTATATCTTAACATTCCATGCATCCAATAAACATCCAATGATCGAGTATTTTACTCAAAAGGAAAGTGTGACAGCAATCCCTCGGACAACAACCAGGCGCCAATCGACAAAAATTACTGTAATGACGTCAAAAATACCAATAAACATGTGACCGCAATGGTGCGGGATAGTTTATTTGTCTATTTGTCTGTTTGTCTGTTTATTAGTTACTTTTGTTTGCCGCCCTTCGATCCCAAGGGCCATTTGTGCTGATATATATCTCGAGATCCGCATGACTTATTAACTATCGTGGGCCCATTGATGCCCACGTGGGCTCTTTCGCGATCCTGACGCCATTCGAGTGGGTATATTAATATCAAATTACGTTTTCTCTCTGAACCTCTCGAGAATGTCTGAGGGACAATTCTACAAGTGAGCTCTCACTAGCTGTGAGCCCACATCATTCCAATAACAAATAACTACACAGGGAGCCTGAGTTCGAGACACTCCAGCTGCACGCTGGCCAGGTTCCCGATCCGACAACCAATGCGAGGGCTGTGCCGATCTATGCTTCGTCAAGCTTCGTTTTCAACGACTCGCAGCATGGAGGGGATCTTTTTGGCTTGCGTGCTCTGGGTAACATTTACTCAAGGTTCGTACACTCTATTTGTCTAGCCCCCAGCAACTAATGGGACAGCGTTAAGGGTTGGAAACCCAACTCAGGATGTGTTTGAGAAACGCATGGCTGTGCGATACCTCCTCTGAATGATCCCACTTGATCTAAGCATACATCCAGGCATTGGAGGGTGGTGTTGCTGCCGTGGCCGCGAGCAGTGGCCAATCCGCTCAATTCATGACTATCGCAACGATTGCTAGTGCTGGAGATAACATTGTTTCAACGTAAGCCACAATCTCATTCGAGTGGGTATATTAATATCAAATTACGTTTTCTCTCTGAACCTCTCGAGAATGTCTGAGGGCTTGTGTGCACGCCGGAGGAGACGCAATGGAATAGCGTGGCGACAGTCCCGGCAAATGCCAGAACCTCTGGAATTGAAGACGAGCCGGGTAATTTACAAGGATGGAGATTGGGGAAGGAGGAGGGCAACGCGAAAAAACAAGGACGAGGAAGAACAAGGAGGAGAAGAACGGAGGTTACAAAAACAAGGGAACAACCGAAAATAAAGAAACCTAGAAAAAACTAGAGTAAGCACTCGGGATCCAACCCACCGAGAGTAACCGGAGGTCACAACACCCCCCTGCTCAGTGAGACCGAAACGCTTACCGGAAGTAAGGGACTCCGAGAGAAAACTACAACAAAAATCGCTTTCCAGGCTAACAGAAATAAGACTAAAAAGGAAACAAAGACAACGCCTTCAGCAGAGGTTGAGGAATAAGAGGGCCAGAGCCCAGAAGCGTGAGCGGACGAATAAACACGTACGGGATTCGTCCGAAGAAATCGACCCAGGTATGCAGCGGCAATAAAACCTGAATCGGCATGACTGTAGCCTCGGAAGACACAGTATGCGTAAGGCCGACAGCGGGTACGGCGCATAAGATGAAGGCATCACCGGGTAATGTGCCATGCGCGAAAAAAGAGCGCTTAGTCCAACTGCACACAAGTCTAATTTAATCTCGTACCTCCATTAAATAACAACTTGTGTGCACGCCGGAGGAGACGCAATGGAATAGCGTGGCGACAGTCCCGGCAAATGCCAGAACCTCTGGAATTGAAGACGAGCCGGTAACCAGGTAGAAGAAAGGAGGTGGGGAGGGATGGTGGTGAAAAAGAAAGAGGGAGTAGTAAAGACAAAGAGGTTAAAGAGCATCGAAAAGAGACCTAGCCTTAGAACCGTGCGCGCACAAAAGCACTGGGTTCTTCCGAATGTAAGACCGCCATGCTTCGGAAGACCAGCGGCCAAGTGCTTGGATCGTAGACTCGGGTACTGCTTGTGAAGCTAAATGCGTAGCTCCTCCTGAACGGAAAGAATGACCGGAGAAATCTTTGGGAAGAACAGCATGTAGCTTCCGCAAAAACCAGGATCGAGAAGGTAATGATCCATCGCCACGAATCCAAAGATGAGGGAAAAAGGGAAAACGAGCGTCGCGACTCTGAATATACCGATTGAAAAAGAATAGTGGGTCAAGTGGGAAAAGTCGAGATTGAATGACCACCAGACTCCCATAAAAACGAGGATCGGTTTTATGCGTGGGCAGTAAGAACTGGTATGCGTCTACGGCATCACAACGAATAAACTCGACGGAGCGGCGTAGGGTGAGTTTTCGAAAGTTCAATTTCGTAGAATCGTCCGGAACCACTAACTCCCCAATCCTAAGTAGACCATGGAAGGCGGTGAAACATATCGCCAAGAATAACCGATCGTCGAACTCCGACGAAACAGCAAAGCGGTCAACAAGAAGATGGAGGTGGTGAGACTCAATCGGCAACTTCCGTTTGATCGGTTCCCCATCTGTCCGTTCTGCTCCCCGAAGGACACTAACGACAAGAGGATGCTTTCTGACAGCTCGGGCTCCCGGATAGAAAGGTTGGAGATGGTGGACAATTCCCGATAAGTACGAAATGATCGTTCGGATGGATAATGGTTTACCGGATCTGCCAGTCTGCTTTGCCATATAACAAATGAAAAAACTGATTGTTTCAGGAGTCGGTTCGATGTCGCGGGTATGGATGTCACAGAAGGTGATGTACGAATTAATACCGGATTGATATGCTGATCTCGTCGACGCGTCGAGAGCATTAGACAAATAAATCGCTTGTTGACTTCGAAGACGATCCACTGTCCACGGGGCACGCTTGGGCTGACGCGCCCGGGCACTCAAGAGTGATCTCATTCTCGCAACACCCCAAGCGATTCCCGCTGGGGTTTGAATAAAGCGATGTCAAGCCCAGGACGCAGTCGTCGGGCGGTATCGAAAAGTTGACGCGATAAGGCATCTGCAACGGTATTTTGGTCACCCGGTATGTGGACCACTCGTACGTCCATCCCAAAGTCCATCATGCTCTCAACCACCTTGAAAAGCAATAACACGTAGTTCGGTTGTGCTGCTAGAGAGTGAAAAATGTCGACAGTGTTCATCGAATCAGTCCGCAAAAGGATTCGTCGCGGTTTATCAGGTAGGTGAGCAGCCCACTCGATTGCCGAGACTACGGCTAACGCTTCGTTGAAAAAAGTGTCCCCAAAACGGAGATCCGACACCTCGATCGATGCGACAAACGCTAGGTCCAGAGTTGGCGACCAGAAAGCCAAACCAACATTCGAAGCATCGGACAAGAAGACCAGGTCTGCCTCCTGTTCACGCCATGATCGGGCATATAAGAAGTTGACTCCCGGCGAATTAGCGATCCGTCGGATAAACCATGACAAGTCTTGCAAAACCGACTTATTTAGCCGAATTGGAGCCAAGGCGAGCTTCTTACCCCGTATCTTAGCATACGAGGATTGAAGCGCGGGTCTAAGAAGAGGGTAAGCATTCAACGCCCAGTTGCAATACCCTAAAAGCCGCTGCCATTCTCGGAGTGGATGACGACGAAGCTTGCCGACGAGAAATAATTCTACATCTTCAATCAAACTCTTTCGTTTGTCGACGGGCATGGTTATTGTCATCGAATCCAGGGAAACTTGAAGTCCTATTATGGTAAGTTGTCTCCCGTATTCTTGCTTCCTCTTCTCATGTGGAATTCCGAGGTCGTCGAAAAGCCTCAGTAAAGCAACCTGCTTCCTTGGGTACTGAGCATCGTAAGGAACATAAAACTCGAGTTCTTCCTGGGCGTCGAAAGAAAAAACGTCATCAACGTAATGAAGTAGATCAGGTATACTTTTTTCATGAATAGCAATCCAGAGAACGAGTGCGTAGAAGGTACACCAGATTGCGCCCGACGCACGGTTCCCAAAGACGCAACACCGATCGACATGATAATCCTTGTCAATCAATGTCGCTTGCCTCGCCTGCCATCTTGGATGGCACGGTAAGAGTCTATAGGCAGAACTCGCGTCCGATTTGAACAACCAAGCTGGCGCACGACCAAAACTCGCGTGAAAGGCGAGTAACTGCTTTCCCAAATCCTGGAGGTTGTCCGGCCTAAAAGACCCATCCTCGGGGACTATCGCCGCATTCAAGGAAAAGCTCCCTGCGGTATGATCGTTGACGAGTCGAAACTTGGCCGATCCTGGTTTGGGGACTGCAAAGCAAGGCTGCGCAACCATTCCTGGTAACAAGGCCGATCCGAAAGACGGTGAATAACGACCTAGCGACATCTCGAGGTCCCGTTGCGATCTCATGAACGATTTCTTCTCTTCGTCCTTCTCTTCTCCAAGTCGCTGGTTGTCAAGCCCCCTCTTCGTTGAAACCAACAACCCCGGTTGCGCGCACGGCCAGAAACCCGATCGAAAACCTGAAACCACCGACTGTACTAACTCTCGGTTCGGATGATGCTGCAATAAATCGTCAAGCTTATCCGGTTTCACAGGCGTTACAATTTTGAAAAGCTCGGGATATTTCTCAATCGTTTCGGTCACCAAAAAATGGGCAAAGTCATCAACTGGAACTGACGGGAGAGGTTCTCGAAAAAGAGTGGACGTTACTGAAGGCGTGACTGGATCCTCTTTCCCCCAAACAAAACCCCTAAGGTATCGCGGGTTTCTTATCGTCGCCTTCCACTCCTCAATTCTTTTCTGTCTTTTTGACCTCTTTTGAAGGGCAAGCCGACCTTCGGTGCTCTCCCTCACACTTGTCGCATACGTGTCGGTATCGGCAATTGAGGTGGGGAATTCCTGCGTTAAAACGTCTACAGACCTCTCCTTCAAGTTTCCCTTGCTTCCAGAAAGCTCCCTTCGTTCCTTTTCCTCCGCTTCCGCCTCCGTACAAGAAGGGATGGCATGATTCAACGTCATCGAAGGTGAGCCTTGCATCCTCGGCCAGTCTTTTCCGAAACATGACGTCGAAGTCAATGATTGATTGCTCTTTGAAAGGTCCGGCGCTTTCGAAAAAGTCACGGATATATTCCTTGTAGGTGCGAAATTCGCCTTTCCTGTGCGGATAAATGTAAAGGGCTGCGTCAGCATAGGCATCGAAGGCGGTGACCCAAGCTCCCTGTCCGCGAATGAGTTTCTTTGATCCGGCTTGATCATAGATAAACTTGAAGGGTCCAGATTCGTGTACGACTTCTTCCTCTGGCGCTCTGTCGACTCGGATTGCATGGACTTTGTTGAAGTCGACATATTTATTGAGCAAAACCGCTTCCCAGAGGGATTCTGGGAATCGGGGCTTGTTGAGTTGTCCTTTGAGTCTTCGAAGGGCCTTTTTCTTATGTTCCAGGAAATATTCCCGAATCTTATTGGTTCGCGTCGCCAGGGAAAGGTTTCGGTAATTCCTGTGATGATCCGACCTTTTGGTGCCGGCGAAGGTAACATCGGCGTCGTCTGAGGTTCCGGATGAACTCTCACTCGAGCTCCCTTCTCCCTCGTCTTCATTGGATAGATCAAGTCCGGCATCCTGGATGAAGGTTCGGCGCTTCCTTCTCTTTCCATCATTCTGCGATGCGGGCAACTCAGGTTTTCGCTTCTTTGGTCTTTCTGCGGGGTCTCGTCCCTTTCCTTTCCCATCGTCATCAATCCTTGCGCCACCCTTCCCTTTCTCGAGTTGTTCGACGAATGAAAAGATGACTTCCCTATCGCCGTGAAGGTCGTACTGTTCTATGACCTCAAGAACCTCACGTCGCGCTTTCCGATAATCTTTCGATGATGCCGCTTCTTTCAATATCTTCTCAAGCGCGTCCTTGGGTTCCTGGTCAAAGATAGATGAAGCCCCTTCTTGGTCCTTCTCTTTTCCTGTACTCGGGCCAGACGTGCTCTCTCCTTTCTTGTCCTTTTCAACTGTAACTACTGGTGGTGTCCTCGCAACTGAAGTCTCCCTCGACATGAAAACCTCCAAAATGATTTTAGATGCGAGAAACCTTGGTTTCGAGAGATATTCAACGCGAAAAAACAAGGACGAGGAAGAACAAGGAGGAGAAGAACGGAGGTTACAAAAACAAGGGAACAACCGAAAATAAAGAAACCTAGAAAAAACTAGAGTAAGCACTCGGGATCCAACCCACCGAGAGTAACCGGAGGTCACAACACCCCCCCTGCTCAGTGAGACCGAAACGCTTACCGGAAGTAAGGGACTCCGAGAGAAAACTACAACAAAAATCGCTTTCCAGGCTAACAGAAATAAGACTAAAAAGGAAACAAAGACAACGCCTTCAGCAGAGGTTGAGGAATAAGAGGGCCAGAGCCCAGAAGCGTGAGCGGACGAATAAACACGTACGGGATTCGTCCGAAGAAATCGACCCAGGTATGCAGCGGCAATAAAACCTGAATCGGCATGACTGTAGCCTCGGAAGACACAGTATGCGTAAGGCCGACAGCGGGTACGGCGCATAAGATGAAGGCATCACCGGGTAATGTGCCATGCGCGAAAAAAGAGCGCTTAGTCCAACTGCACACAAGTCTAATTTAATCTCGTACCTCCATTAAATAACAAACAATTCTACAAGTGAGCTCTCACTAGCTGTGAGCCCACATCATTCCAATAACAAATAACTACACAGGGAGCCTGAGTTCGAGACACTCCAGCTGCACGCTGGCCAGGTTCCCGATCCGACAACCAATGCGAGGGCTGTGCCGATCTATGCTTCGTCAAGCTTCGTTTTCAACGACTCGCAGCATGGAGGGGATCTTTTTGGCTTGCGTGCTCTGGGTAACATTTACTCAAGGTTCGTACACTCTATTTGTCTAGCCCCCAGCAACTAATGGGACAGCGTTAAGGGTTGGAAACCCAACTCAGGATGTGTTTGAGAAACGCATGGCTGTGCGATACCTCCTCTGAATGATCCCACTTGATCTAAGCATACATCCAGGCATTGGAGGGTGGTGTTGCTGCCGTGGCCGCGAGCAGTGGCCAATCCGCTCAATTCATGACTATCGCAACGATTGCTAGTGCTGGAGATAACATTGTTTCAACGTAAGCCACAATCTCATCTCCGGTTTCCGGCCTCTCCCTCATTTTGCGCAATAGGACATTACTATATGGAGGAGTGAGAGCATACTTAACTTCGCTAGGCAAATAACTAATAGTTTCTTCTATCTTTCAGACGTTTAATCAATTCAAGGGTATGCGTCCTGTGCACATTGCATCTCGGCTTATATTGAATGCGGCCTTCCTCAGTTTTCCTCAAACGGTTCGGCATCGGCGTCAAATGGGTCGAGAATGACGATCTAGAGGGTTTCAAGAACGCCATTGACGGGAAGACCAAGGCAATTTACGTCGAGAGCATTGGGAACCCCAAGTATAATGTCTCCCCTTTGCCAGAGCTTGCCAAAGTACTACACGGCGATCCAATTATCCAATTCTAGCCATTGATGATTGATATATATGTTCAGATTGCGCACGATGCCGGTATTCCTTTGATTGTGGACAATACTTTTGGTATCGGAGGATACATTGTCCGCCCTATTGATCATGGAGCTGATATTGTCGGTGAGTCTCCCCGAAAGCGAATCTTAGGTTCCTCATTAACTTTCTTGCATCGGAACAGTTCATAGTGCAACTAAATGGATCGGCGGACATGGTACGTTTCTTCGATAGTTCGTGTGATGACACAGTTCTCACCCCAATGCCCAGGAACGACGATCGCTGGTGTTGTGGTTGACGCGGGCAAGTTTGACTGGTCCCGATCAGGGAAATTCCCTTCTTTCACCGAACCATCTGAGGGTTACCACGGACTGAAATTCTGGGACACCTTTGGTAACACCTCGTTTGCGGTCAAGCTTCGTGTCGACGTTCTTCGGGACCTCGGAGCCGCCTTGAATCCCTTCGGTCCGTCATTGTTCATTCATACTTTTCATCAACAGTCTCACGACCATCCTAGCCGCATTCCTCCTTTTGCAAGGCCTTGAGACTCTATCTCTCCGAGCTCAACGACATTGTGAGAATGCTTTTGCCCTAGCAGAATGGCTTAAGAACCATCCGAAGATTTCCTGGGTCTCCTACCCTGGCCTTCCATCGCACTCTTCACACGAACGTGCCAAACAACTTCTTCGTGCAGGCTATTACGGTGGAGTGCTCAGCTTTGGCGTCAAGGGTGATGCAAGCGTTGGAAGTGCTGTGGTTGACAAGCTCCGTCTTGCCAGTAATCTCGCTAACGTAGGCGATGCGAAGACCCTGGTTATTCACCCAGCCTCGACAACTCATCAGCAACTCACTGTTGAGGAGCAGTTCTCGTCGGGTGTCACCCCGGATCTTATCCGAGTGAGTTTCCGGGTTTTCTCGTGTGAAAAGCTCACCAGTGATTGATTCTTATTCTTTGACAGGTTTCTGTTGGTATTGAACATATTTCGGACATCATTGCTGACTTTGAACACGCGCTCGCCATTGCGACACCGGAACCCTCCAGCTCCCCGACATAAGGAGACGAGATTTCTTTGTGTTTGAGCCATCTTGTCACTCAATTCCGGGCACATAAACCCCTGTACACATATCACGAAAGGAAAGAAAATTCGTAGTTTTGAGATACACCACAACCAATGTGCCATGCCTTGCTGTTCCATACTGATGGTCTAACAACTTGTTGGTGTGAGGGGTGTCCACAACATTACGATGCTATAACATTCTGCACGCCCATCACAAACTAGATGGGTTCGCAAATGCAGCAAAAATCCGAAACTCCCCCTCATTCGTTTGTAGCCCAACATCATTTACAACCTTCTTGTTCAACCTCGATGTCTTCAAAGCCCCAAATTGTCTCTACTTTCTATCCGCCTAGCTCCAGCACTCAATCAGCCGTCGAGGTTGTAATTGGAAATTTGTTATATGAGTAGGACGGCGTGAGTGGCATGAAGAAGCCAAACTCTGCTCCAAATGCGTGGAACACTGCGAAACAGTGTGCTAGGACGCAGTGAATGCCAAGGCCACTACCGGCGAATGTGTGTATCCCTGCGACCGCACAAGTAAAAGTGAATACAGATGCCTCAGGCTATGCATTCAAGAGTAGGGTCGGGCCGTCGTTCGTCTTCAGAGACAGGCTACTGAGATGACGCCATAAAGACAATCTAGGAGAGATGTCGCCGTGGTTCGTATGGGAGGATTACTACTAATGCTAACAGACTTTCCATGAAGAATTTATGCGCCCTAGAAGTCTGATGGACGTCTTCCCTAGGATAAGTGCTTCTTTGTACCGTGCCTGAGACGCAAGTTGAAGAAAGAAAAAAAAAAGATTGGAGATGGGGTCCCCATAGCGTTCAAGCGCCTCCAGACGGATGGCGTCTATTAGAACACAAGGAGGAAAGGCTAAAACAGTCGGGTCCATGGCATAACCTCTCAGGTCTTAACACGGATACGTGCACAATATTGGGACCATGTTCTTCTAAGGACTATTAGCTAGACGACGCACCGTAGTGTCGAACGCGTCGCACTTATAAGATAAGAAAGTAAGTGGGATAGGGACAAAGCAGCAAAGCGGGGCGCTTTGAGCGAGTAGGTTTACTTTGGACTGTGAGATCAGGGCCAAAAAAACAGCAGGCCACCTGCTTGGTCCTTCGGAGATGGGTTGGGGTGCTATCAAGTTCGTTTCGTGAACGACACAGAAGAGAGTGGAGCCTTCCAGCCATGTCAATATATATTAGCGGAATGCTGCCGAGTAGTTGCCTGGCTGTACTCCAGGGTCTGTAAACAATCCTGGTACCGTGCAGCTCCCACACTGTTCCCTTCCCGTCTGGTCACCCACTTAGATTGTACGGGCGAAGATAATTTTCTCACGGCCTTGCTTTGCTTGGCGGAGCTGGCCGAACAAACTTGTCCGCTCATCCATGCGGAACTCATCCAACGTAGCTTTCTTCCGCAAAATTTGTCAAGGAAGGAGGCTGCTATTGAACATATTTCTCCCAGTGTACATTTATATTCCTTGTGCGTCGGGGACGCAGCCGGTATTCGGGGGTTGGGGAGCGGGGGGTGCTTTCTGCGAATCGCGATAGGCTGTTCACACCAGCTATACGATATGACTTATCCGTCGCATCCCGAAGACGGGTGCGAACTAATCCTGCCGCAAGAGCCTACTAATATAGGCAGGTTATCAGCCTCTGTTACTAACTATTAGTATAGACTACTAGTAACATTGGATGAGTGTTCCGTGCTTGGCTTAATAGGAGCCGGCCACTGTGTGTCAGGGGAATTACTCGACTGGGACATTTTGTGATGAACATCATCCACCACGAGTGTGACAGCCCATAGAGAAACTTATCGCTGTTGACTCATGTGTTGTCGAATCTGATTCATTCCCCTGGCGATGGGCTCATTCCACATCCTATGACGCCACTTCTTTCAAGGCTGACGAGGTTTTTTCGAATCCATGGATTGGGTGTACAGAACGATCTTGACGGGGTCCCTTCCTCCGGTCCCATCTAAGCTGCGAAGTAGGCAGTAGATGGATGTTCGTTCACGTCAGTTGGCCCAAGAGACTAGACAGCCTAGGCTTCGGCATCTGCTTAGCCTTCTCCTGTGTCTTCCATTTTGTCATGAACACCAGTGATCTCCACTCCATAACTTGTGTGGCCCCTGGCCCCTTTCTTCCTCCTGGATGTGAGTCTCAAGGTCTTTGCCAGCTCCCCCCACAGTAGTGCCTGTATCAAGCGCAGTTTGTGCATCAACGACCTTGAATTCTTTCGAGGGATTCGCTATGTAAGGAGAGCTCTTTCATTTTTTTCGGGCGTGGGGTAACATCATTCTAACGGGATGTGCGAGCTGGACATTGATGAATATCTTTCACTTACCTTCCTCCTCGACTCGGCTGTTACGGGCAAGCCGTAACTCTAATCTTCCTCTTTTGGACAATTCAGTCTCCCCCACTCATTAGGCTGTTCGGGTTGAAGTCTCTTAATTGAGAAGACTCCTGTTTCTCTCCGGCCGGGAGCGAAGGAATGAGGCAGGAAAACGAGACGGAGAAGAACCCTGCTTCTTCAACCCAAACAGAGCCCAATAGCTCGTGGCGGCTGCACGTCAACTGCCTCCCGGATGACTATTGATTCGAGGCCCGTGGCTTTAGGTCGGTGGAATGACCACTCATACCACGCAACCTTTATCTACTGGACTTGGCCATTCCATTCTATTGCTTTTTCGCATTCCTGTGTGCGAGCACGCGTACCCCACGCATGGAGTTTTTGTTTCCAGTATACTGGATGGCATAGGGTGGACATCGGTATCAAGGCCCTTCTCTGAATGTCTGAAGGCAAGTTCTACAAGTAAGCTCTCGGATGTGGGCAAGGATCAGTGTTAAGAATTGGAACCAACTCGGGACGTGTTTGAGAAACGCACCGCTGTGGCTGAAAGACTTCCCCCTCACTTAACTAGCCACGGCATTGGAGAGTGGCGTTACTGTCATGGCCGCAGGCAGCGGCAGAGTACCTCAATCCATGGCCATCGCGACAATTGCCGGTGCTGGAGACAACATAGTGAGGAGCCCGTGTACCCCCAACCGTTGATCTCTCATGCATCCTACATAATAAAACATCATTATTTGGAGTGAGTATCATACTTGCAACTTCTTGGCCCACATTGATTGTGGACAATACGTTCGGTATCGGGGGATAATTGTCCGTCCCATTGATTATGGTGCTAACATCGTCAGCGAGTCTTCCCGAAAGTGAACCTTAGCTCTTCAATCACCTTTCTTCACATTAAGACAGTTCTTGGAGATACGTCGTAGTTCCCACTCCAATCCCTAAGAATGGCGGTCGCTAGTCTCGCGGTCGACGCGGGCAAGTTTGACTGGTTTCGGTCAGGAGAATTCCCTTCTTTCACCGAACCATCTGGAGGATGTGGGATGAGGTTCTGGGACGCCTTTGGAAATGTGTCAAGCTTCGCGCCGATGTTCTTGGAACCCTTTCGGTTTGTCATTCATGGTCTTTGTTAAGCTGTCACAGGAACCTCGACCGTCTTAGGTTCATTCATCGTGTAGAACTTCGAGACTATCTCTTCGCGCCCAGCGCCCTGCGACAATGCTCTTGCCCTTGAGAACCACCTGGAGTGCTCAAAGTTTGACATCGAGGGCGATGCAAGCGTCGGAAGTGCTGTGTCTTATCAACAATTTCGCCAACGTCGGCGAGGCGAAGACGCTGTATCTACCCAGCTTCGACGACTCACCGGAAACTTACCGTTGAGGAGCAGCCCACGGCCGGTGTCGCCCCGGATTTTATCCGAGTGAACAGCTGGTTTTCTCTTGCAGAGTGGCGAAAAGCTCACTATCTCTTGACAGGTTTCGATTGGCACTGAACAGACATTACTGACTTCGAACACGCACTGCGATCCCCGAGCCTCCGGCTCTTCGCTGTCACCTGCACTGAGTACAGGGTAACTCACATTCCCGAATCAATAAGCCGGACGCTTTGCTTGCGACTTCATTCTATGACTCCTTTCACGCCGTGATCTTGGTTCACTTTGCCCTGCATGGACCCCGTAACAGCTCTCTACAGTCCTTTTCCTTGGTACAATATTCTGTCCACGTGTTCTCCGAGTTTCCTTCATCTGTCCCATTCCCTCGTTGTCATCCTATGCGGCTTTCGTATCCCTTGTCTTCTCATTCCAGCGTCTGACATGGTGTCATTATGAATAGAACGTCATTGATTGCGTCCCGCCGCCCTCAATAACGTCACATTGAGGGCTCGGGGTGAGCAGTCCTTGTAAAGACCTCCCAACACCCGTCCATAAGTCCTTAGTGGTTTTCTAGCTCGATAGTCTGTGAAGGCGTGCGCCCAATTGCTGCCCAAATACATGTACATATGTGACAACAACGCCTCCTTGCGACGTCGTGAATTCATTCGCCCCCATCAATATAACAAGACCGTTGATCTGCTCCAATCGTCCCACCATCCATTAATGCGAGGGAACAATACCATCCAAGACACCACAACGCTGCCTGCATCAATTACAGCCTAGATGAATTCGCAGATGCAGTGCCATCGGGAAGCGAAACCTGAAGCCCGAAGCTCGAGGGCCCTTCCTCTTCTCCAATGGTGTCCCGTGATCCAACATCATCCACAACCTCCCCCTGATCAACCTCGATGTCTTCAAAGCCCCAGTCTCTTTCAACACCTCCGTCCAGGAAATGTGCATCTGTCTTTACGACCACCTCCCATTCCCCAAGCCTTGGTGTTTCATTAGATTTGTTAGGTGATGGCATTACTGTTCCATCAACTGTCGGCCTTGGGACGAGCGTGCTAAGCGAGCAACACCCCACGCGGATAGGGAGGTCCCTATTTCCGACGAGTTCCCTGACGAGTGTGATAACGGTCGCTGCGTGTCCCATGAACAATATGCGCCTATGGTCCGCAAATCCAGCATCACTTTCTGTTCCCCCTTGGTCGTTGCCAGAGGACGACGGGGAATAATCAAGTCTTTTGAAAAATGCACGGAGAAAGTCTGCAGTCCTGTCATGCACTTCCCTCACGTTCTCGCCTTTCCGGCTAGGGAACCATGTTGATCTCCAGCGAGTATCAATTAGAGGGAAGTATTGTCTCAGCGAGGCGGCCGTTCCTGGGCGAGGATGGAGACCGGTTCCCGGTGCCGCTGGAGAGTACCATTCTGCGATGCCTAGATAAACCTCGGGGATGAGTGCTGTGTCACGAAAGAATTGATAGTTTTCCATGCACACCATGCTCGACGTAAATCGGTATCCCCAATGACTCCGCGATAGGTGTTGCTGTCTGCAAAGTCCGATCTAAATGGAGGCAAGGTAAGCACCCTTCTCACAGCGCTTTATGAGGTGCGTGACGCTACTTACAAAACGGTGAGCAGAATATGGCAGTGGGCTTCTTTTCTTCAGGGAAAGAAGCAATCCAAGCTGCTAATTGCTTAGCTTGTGTCTACCAGGCCATGGACATTAACATGACATATCGCCAATACTGCGACGCCTCGATCGGGTCACTCACAACACCATATGCAGCCAGGGGGGGGTCCCTTTCTAGTCCTGTCTCGCTCCTCCAATCGTTCGTCACCCAGCTAAGTCGAAATCCTGCAAGGGAAGGTCATGAACGCTGTTCGGCTCAATCTGGGAAATCGGGGTCGACAATCTGACGAACCGTGTCGAGAAATGTATATCGTGTCTAGAGGCATTGCGCTGCAAATAATCTTCAGATATAAGCTCGACGGTCCCCGGTCGATCGGAGCCCAGAACAAACGTGCGAATTTTCCTAATTTGGCAGCTCGACTCTTGTCGCGGGAAGATAGTGGGTATCGCCAATGCGACCTGGGATACTACGAATGCTAGAGCATGGGGATCGGTGAGCCTCTCCCGATAACTGACTCGGAGCTTTGAGCACTCCTGCTACTCTCCCAGCTTGGCACACTGCATGCGTGCAAGGGCGAATCCATGCAATGGACAATGAGTGGGCAAATCACTGAAGTGGGGCTTTCATAAAGTAACCCATTTTTAATTGTCAGGACTACATAAAGGACGACTTGCGGTTCAAGGTGATGTACACAATGAAAAAAATATGACAAGAAGATTGCTGTGGATTGATAGATTACAAATCACGATACAGACTGAGAAGACATCGGGCAGGGTTCATAGCAGATCAAGGTGACGAATTGTGCGGGAATGGTTATTAGAGGGTTTCCCGAAGACAGCAAGATTTGCAGGACTCGCGAAGAATGAGAATACTCTTTAGCGGGGCAACAAGTAGATGGTTTCGTGGAAACCCGGGCCATGGGTATATATAAGCTCAGTTGCGCTTTGGGGAATTCGGTATTGGCGACTCGAGTTTATTGCGTACATCGCTTCTTCTGCATTGCTTCAGGCTGCCCAACATCGCAGAGGCATGATAAACTTGCTTTGGTCAAGGCTCGTGCCGATGCATTAGAAACGATGGAAGTATGTTCTTACGTCTTCGCAGGGCGTGAGGTAATTCTCATGGCCCTGAACGCCTGGGAGCACTTGACGTTGAGGCCCTGCGTTAACAAGAAAGGTCTATTCCAATAAGGGCTGGTCACCTGCCCACAAGTTCTGCTTGGCAGAAATTCTCGGTTATCAGGCCCCCATACAACATAACTGCAGTTCTCTGAAGGAAGGTATGGGGATGTTGTTTTTTATTTCCTCAGTCCGGCGAGCACATTGCCCGTCGCTGGTGCGGTGCCCACACCTGGGCGTTGACGACGCAACTGCTAGTGCCAGACTCTCTCGGTGAACCTGGCTTGGGGAAAACCGTCAGTCATTACGTAGTTTCTACAACCCAGTACCATCGTATTTCCATGCTGTAGTCCAATTTTATCTCAAGCACCATGTCAGACATGCGCTGCTAGCTCTCATCTTACTCTATCTGGGTATTATGGCTTTCGCCAGTGCGCCGGCAGACTCTACTCCCCCATGTGGCAGCGACTCTGACCCCGCTTCTATTTCTACTATTGGGAGTGGTGTTAATTTCAAAGATGTCGAGGGACGCCATCATTGAAAGTCTGTGGTCCGCGTGTCCGACCGGCCTATTGCCTCCTCCGTCCCTTTCAATGATCAATCTTTTTTCTTTTACTAAAAAAGCATCCCCCACTACTGTCAATAGTTAGATCGATCACTTGAATGACGACACACTGGGTTCTGGGTTCAAGGTATCTTCTACATCAATAGTACGGGTTGGTCCCACCTTGGCGATGCCCATTCCCTAACCTCCTTCCTCACCCTTCCTGGCTAACTCCCTCTCCATTAGACCCAGGGCCAGAAATGACAAGGAAACTCAGGAGTCCGTGATCACTTACGGTTCCGGCAAACCAACCGTAAACGGAGACCTTGTTGTCGGATATGTTACGTTCCCTTGACACTATATAACTGGTGGACGCCGCCTGACGCGGCAGTCCCCACTCTTCTGTCCTCCGTTGTTGCAAAATATATTTGGGTTCAAGATCCAACCACCTCACCCTTTTCCCAATCATCCCCTGTTACAACATATGCTGTTGTGTCCGGAGGGTGTGCGACAATGTCTCCCTCCAGCGTTACGCTTCAGGTTTGTTATAAATGTCATCGCAGAGGAGAGCAAAAAGGTAAGTACATCATGAAGATATCTGTCATAATCCGGAAATCGGGTGCAAAGGTGGACACACGCGGGGAAAGGGGCAAGCCCGATGGGAATTTGGTAACAGTCACCAAACAGAATATGCGCAAGTAAACGGTCACGAATATGCGACACAGTGCAAATGTTGAAAGAAACACCGTGGTTTTCAGCAAGGGGAATCAACTGGTGAGAAGATGGCAATTTGGCAGGTGGCAAAAGGCTGTAAGACCAGGGAGCTAAGAATATTCTGTTAAGAGAAAGAGCAAGAAGAAATTGAGTTACTCACTGGTGACGTCGGTGGAGGAACTGGAAGGTAGCAGTGGTCCGGAAAGCATGAGAGAAGCAGCGAAGTGGAACGATAGTACAAAGAGGAGGGGGAGAAGGCAGAGTAAGCGGCATGAGAGTGGTGTAGTATAAGTGAAATTGTTGGGAGGACCCTGGGTTATCCCGAATTGGCAATAATAGAGGACCTTGTCATCAAACGCATTCAATCAAGGTCGAAAAATTTACAAAACCCGCTACAGAGTAGCGGGAATATTTGCTCCTAGGCTCAACGGAGTCATTCAGAACATCGATGGTGTCATTGCAATTTGGGATGTGTGCTCACTCACGAAGTTGGTCTCTCGTACTGAATTGTTGCCTGTAGCCCTGATCGTCGATCACCTCGTAGATTGAGTATCTCTCTATCACACCTTCCAATGAGGTTGCTCTAATCTTGTTGACTGGTACTCCCCCCGAAATGTCCGATACCTGCCCCGGTGGAGGTCCCGATCCTACTGACTTCTCTGATTTTGTAGCACGAGCAGACGGAGCACCATATTCAGTCATCCCTCCGGCAGCGGTAGTCAATAGCAGCGCGCCAGGGGTCCTATTATGCAAACGATGCGTTAGAATTTTATGGGGGGTTCATTGTGGAGTCCCCTGGGATTTATACTGACCTTGGCATGCACTTAAACTTCGCAGAACGGAGACTGATTGCTGACTTAAGAGGATCCCGCGTAACTCATGAAATGATATATTCGTCCTGCTTGATCCAGGACTTGACTTTTCTGTGTGCCAAGAACGCAGGTAGCCTGAGCCTAGAAACATGGCACAGCGACATTCTGGCCCAATATTAAGGTTGCGCCAACCCAAGTCACCTTTCCAATCCCGATAGTGCAGTCAGCTTAGAAACGAACGCACCCCTGAAATTTTTAACTCCGCTATTGCGTGAAGAACCCAAAAATATCGAGCATGAGGTTGGGAGCATGCATGAGAAAAAATGCGCGCGCCATGAGATTGTAAAAGGAGAAGCGTAAAAGAAACGAGAAAAAAAAAGGAAGGAGTAGATTGAAAGATGAAAGAAGACAGAGAAGTAAGAAGTGTTTACAGGTGATCAAGTTGAACAGTTCGTTTCGACAACATGACAGCAATAAGAACACACAGGTACAAATGATCGAGGAACCAGGGAATTCTTAAAGTCGCGAAAACGAATTCACTTCTTCTTCGCAGCCTTCTCAGCGGACTTGGTGACTGTAGAGAAACAAACCAATAGTTAATAGACGTGTCAGGCGGAGATAGAAAGCAAAAATGTAAACATACCCTTGCCACCCTTTCCGTCGGACTTCTCGACGCTCTTGACAATACCGACAGCAACCGTCTGTCTCATATCACGCACGGCGAAACGACCAAGAGGTGGGTACTCGTTGTACGTCTCGACGGACATCGGCTTGGAAGGAACAAGCTTGACGATGGCAGCATCACCAGACTTGACGGCCTTGGGTTCTCTTCGAGAGCCTTACCCGTCCGACGATCGACCTTCTGCTGAAGCTCAGCAAACTTGCAGGCAATATGGGCGGTATGGCAATCCAAGACGGGAGTGTAACCGGCGGCAATCTGGCCAGGGTGATTAAGAACAATCACCTGTGCAACGAAAGAAGCGGCTTCCTTGGCAGGGTCGTTCTTGGAGTCGGAGGCGACGTAACCACGGCGAATATCTTTGACAGAGACGTTCTTGACGTTGAAACCGACGTTATCACCAGGATTGCCCTCCGAAAGCTGCTCGTGGTGCATTTCGACAGACTTCACTTCAGTGGTGATGTTGGCAGGAGCAAAGCTGACGACCATCCCGGGTTTGATGATACCAGTCTCGACACGACCAACGGGGACGGTACCAATACCGCCAATCTTATATACATCCTGGAGAGGGAGACGAAGCGGCTTGTCGGTAGGGCGGGTCGGGGGTTCGATGGCATCGATAGCATCGAGAAGAGTCTTCCCCTTGAAGACAACACCACCCTTTCCCTCACGAGTCCAACCCTTGTACCATGTCATACTAAATGAAACGGAAAGTTAGTCCAAAATTTGCCCCGTCGGTTCACCCTGCTCTGGCGCTCACTTTGCCGACTCCTCCAACATGTTGTCCCCGTGCCAACCAGAGATAGGCACGAAGGCAACAGACTTGGGGTTGTAACCGACCTTCTTGATGAAGTTGGTAGTTTCTTTAATAATCTCATTGAATCGTTCTTCAGACCACTGAAAGACAACGGTCAGCAAGATGCTATTGGATCTTCGACGCAAACTGACTTTAGTAGTGTCCATCTTGTTGACGGCAACAATCAATTGTCTGACACCGAGAGTGAAAGCAAGAAGCGCATGCTCGCGGGTCTGACCGTCTTTCGAAATACCGGCTTCAAATTCACCTGTGCCAGCAGCGATGATCAGGATAGCACAGTCGGCCTGAGAGGTACCAGTAATCATGTTCTTGATGAAGTCACGGTGCCCAGGAGCGTCGATGACCTGAGGAATGTCATTGGTTGAGCGGCGTCGTTCTGAGAGGCTGAGATGCCCACAGCACCGAGTATCACTTACAGTAACCTCATACTTAGGGGTCTCGAACTTCCACAGGGCGATATCGATGGTGATACCACGTTCACGCTCGGCCTTTAGCTTGTCGAGCACCCATGCTAATGAATAGCCGACACATTAGAACCGAGGAGAGATCGAGCGAGATCGAGATAGACTAACCGTACTTGAAAGATCCCTTTCCAAGTTCGTTAGCTTCCTTCTCGAACTTCTCAATCGTACGCTTGTCAATACCACCGCACTTGTAGATCAAGTGTCCAGTAGTAGTGGATTTGCCAGAATCGACGTGGCCGATAACTTATCGAAGGTGATGACACGTGGACAGGAAAATTTTCAGATCGGTCTGCACATTGTCGATCTGAAGATGATACCTACCGACGACGTTAACGTGCGACTTCTCTTTACCCATGATGTTCTAGGCTTTTTGGGGGAGTGTTGTCTGTTGAGAGTAGAAGACGTGAGCAGATCGGCGAACGGTGGCTCCCCATAGAGACAGCGATGGCCAAGCGATCTCACGATGATCGAACGATCGACGAGAATAGATGGGCGCCTGCAGGCACTGTTTCTCCATGGTGAAGCAAGTTAGACTTACCGTGGATGAAGGGGGGATAAGGTATTTGGTTACAGAAAGGGGAGAAAGATGAAAACGAGCAAAATTTTCACTTCAACAACTTTATAGCGGCTCTGGTCCCGGAAGCATATCGTGTGGTTATCGAGTCATTGATTTTTATTTTTCAACTCGCACCTTGTACTTACCTTCACCTATTCACAAAGAGGGGGGAATGACATGCACTGACGGCGTGGACAGATTATAAAGTTGATCCAGAACACTACACCGTTTGCAGCGATCGAATTGCGATCTAGGTGAAATTTTGCGCTTTGATGGCGAACTGCTTCCTCGACCACCTTCCTCCCCATAGCGTAAAATGAATAAAGAAAATCCATGAAATAATTTCTAACCAATGCTTTCCGCATCGTCGTGCGGTTGCCAAAAACCAAATACATAGAAGGCTGGGTCGCCAAAAACTGAGCCACACGGCAATTGCCGCATAAAACCGACCTAAGCGTTTTGAGATCTTCTCAGAAGACGCTCACGCTGTTGATGGAGCCGGTCCTTGTCTACGACCCTAGAGGACATATGGATCAGCAGCCATCCGGTCTCCAGCCACAATGGGACCAGCAGCATACACTAGACGGTCTGCAATCTTCGCGTTCCGCGTCCCGTTCCGCACCCTCAGTCCTGTTAGAATCTCCACTCATCCAGCAAATCATTCTAGAGGACGGTGATGGGGATTTAGGGGACTCGGGACATTCCCACTTGCCCATGCCGAGAGCTTTAGGATTGTCCCTCACACCTCCTCGGATCTCCCGTTTGTTGAGCCCCGGTGCTGCGCTGGTTTCGACCGTCCTCAGGAAAGATTTGACACAAAGCCCAGTATCATCACACTTAGGCTTACGCCTTGGCCAAAAGCGCTCCGGCTCATCGTTGTCGTCGACCTCAGAAGCGGATGCCGACCTCAAACCACTTGAAAATGTGAGTTCCAATTCAAACCATATCACAGGACATTACAAATAAAGCTCTTATCTCTCGCACCCCTTCCTTAACTCAACGCTTCTTTTCAGTCCCGTTCATCAAGCGTCGTGGGCTTATCTTGGGGTATCCGCGGCGTTGGAAAGGGGTTTGATTCAAGCTGGGCACCCGACGAGTCATCTGAAGGCACCGACGAGGAAGACGAATACAACATGCACCTTGATCCCGATAGGGAAGACGCCGACCAGAAATTACGGTTAAATACCCATCTCAACAGCTTTACCGCGTTCACAGACCGAGATACCCTGCTAACTACTGACGACAACACACCGGCTGTGTTTGACGAACCTCTTGCACTGGTGCCTCACGCTACTGATCTATCCGCACCCAGCCCTCGATCATCTTTGCAACCAATTGTAATCCCATCTCCGGCATCTTTCCCTAATTCAATTTCGGACCCTAAACGTGCATCCCTATACCGTTCTACGAATACAGACACATCCACCACCCATCTTCAGCCCCCATCCGTTCGCAGACACTACCCCAAGCTTTTCTTAATTCATCTCCCAATTCTCGTACGCAATCCCGATCATCATCTATCTCTCACCCAACATCACCGCGAACCAGACTGCGAAGGCGAAGCTCACAGAAACGGATATCTCTTGTTGCAGGGCGCATTGTGCCTATCCCACCGCTCGAGCGTCCGATCTATGATCCATCGACTGGGAAAGCCCCCCCTGTTTCGAGGTTTCCCACCGTATCTATTGCCGAGCCGCCATCATCTAAAACCCCGGATGATGGTGATGTAGTAGAATCTCCAGAGGAGATTCGACAAAAGTTCAGTGATGGTCCTCAGGGACCGAGAACGGTCGATGATTTCAGGATTGAGGACGAGGCGGGTCGTGGCGCATATGGCCTTGTCAAGCGTTGTAGAGAGGTGTATGAAGATGGGAGCTTAGGAGTAAGTTTCTTCGAAGCACTGAGAATCTTGGATCTTCTTTCGAACCACAATGCCGGTTAACTGATCCTGACGTTATTAAATAGCCATTGTTAATCATGAAACAGATCATCAAGTCGCGAATCCTTGCCGACTGCTGGAAGAAGCATCCTGTTCTTGGCACCATCCCCATTGAGATTCACGTTATGACAGCGTTGTCGTCTTCAAGTTATGTCTTACCAAAACGAAGGCCTTGGGATCCAAACCGTTTCGTTGAGGCTATAGACAATCATACCATGTCTACTTTCTCCCTCGAAGATCACAATTCGAAGGCCCTTACTGCACCCTTAGTGTCTACGCTTCACAGACGTCCTTCCTCAATCTCGTCCATAGGATCTATTGATGAGATCAAGGCTGGTGCACCTACAGCATCTTCGATTGATCTTACAGCCCGCCACCAGATTGAGCCACCCCCGAGTAACTGGAAATGGCGTGAAGGAGATATTTATAAAGGACACCCATCCATCATACCCCTCCTAGACTTTTTCGAGGATAGGAATTTCTACTATCTCATCCTTCCTGCTGCACAACCTGCTCTTTTGCCTTTGGCACACCCAATCAATCTCCCGCCTTCCCCTACGGGATCGGACAAGTTCCCATCGGACTTGTTTGATCTTGTGGAGAGGTATCCGTTAGGCTTGCCTGCAGAGTTGATTAGGGGTTATCTCGGCCAGATCGCGGATGCACTGGCATTTTTGCATTCAAGGGCTATTTGTCACAGGGACATTAAGGATGAAAACGTCGTCCTTGCAGAGGACGGCAGATGTTGGCTAATAGATTTTGGAAGCAGTGGTGTGGCGAGGAAGGAGGGATGGGACACGTTTAGCGGAACGTGAGTATCGCCTTTCTTTCCATTAGTTTTACACCTACAGGGCCATCACACACACCTCCACAGACTCGACTATGCAGGCCCCGAGATTCTCCGGGGGGAGCGATATACAGGTCCCCCCCAGGACGTTTGGGCATTCGGAATAGTCGCGTATGTTCTGGTTGTCGGCGAATGTCCTTTTTCAACTGCACAAGAGGCAGCTGCCGGTCTTGTCCCTGGGTGCAATGCCCTCAAAGCTCTGGAGGATCGTTGTGGTAAGACGCCACCACAGGGGACCAGTTCGCCGAGGCCAAGCAGTTTCAATATCATTGGCAATCCTGTTGGTGAGACGAACCTTACTGCTGCCCCACTCATGTCGCCTTCACTCTTCACGACTTCTTTCGACTTCATCAAGCCCCCTAAAGAGGAATACAATACTGAGCGTGAGAAGGCGAAGGCTGAGGAAGGACTGGAGCCGGATGGAGGTGGACGTATGGGAGATGCGGCTGCGCTCATCAAGGCTTGCTTGCAACTTGATGTGAATCGGAGACCATCGTTCATGGACATCATGGGCTCTCGATATCTTGCCGGAGGCGAAGGGTGGGTGGAAGTTGTGGAGATCAAGGGCGTTCCCAACTCTACAGAAGAATGATCCGGCATTACGAAGATGTGATGAATCCAGGATACCGTAATGTTAATCAATGTGCGACGTTTGCTGACTAATAGGTATTCTTTTCATTCTCTCATCCCATTCCATTTGGCATTTCCCTTCTTGTTTCTCCCTTAATTCCATTTGTGGTTGACCCAGTTTAAGCCTTCACTAGTAACTCGCCTTCTACACGTTCGTTCACCTTCCCTTTCCACCCCCTCAATGTCTACGCCAGTATATTTTTCTTGATTTGCACCATGATCACTTTGTGTCTTTTATCCCCATGCAGAAAAACCTACATCTCATTCACCGTATCTCATCTCATCGCTTCCGCATCATTCGAACGTGTATCTACATATACAATTCCACCAACAGTCAATATATAGTTGCTTGCAAATAAAACAGATCTCGTATGCAAATGCCTTTGCCTCTGTTATACTCCCGCCATCCGTGTCTCTTCTACTATACCAGACTTAGTTTACAGCGGTGAGAATCACCGCACACTATATAATGGTTGTGGGCTTGATAAGTGGAAGGTTCAAGGGTCGGACTGCATGGTAACGCCGCTTAATTCAGGATAGCATGAAAACCGAAAACAGGGTGGAAAACGGTTAATTAGGAGGGTGATATCTATTCCGCTGGGCCGAGGCTCAAAAGGTCCTACCGAGCATCCCATCTTGCCTATTATGAACGCGATCCGACCAAGCTCCGACCCAGAGGCTAGATTTTAAGGTGTTAAGCCCTTCCAAACATCGACCGAACTCCTGATCAACCGTCCTCCGAACACGGGAGCGTGATGCATAGCAGTCTGCCTCCCATTGGTCCAGCCATTGGTAAATGTTAATTGAGGGACGGTGAGCCCACCGACGAGAGGATGACGAATGAGGATTATCAAGGTAGGGATTTTCCCGAGGATCCTCTCGGATGCTGGAATGACCACGCTTGAGTCGTTGGCGTGTGGGTGGGGTGTATGGAGTACGGGTTGTTGGCGGGAGGTAGTCGCGCCAAGATGGTCCAGGTTCAACGTCGCGAAGCAAATCCATAGCACTTAACCGCCGTTCGGCTCGTTTCGGTATATGCGGACCGTTCTCGTCCACGACCGTAGAAATGGCATCATCCTCTTGTTTATTCCACCCTTCACCAGAGGAATCCCCTTTCTAGGATGTCGTTGAGATGTAACCCTCTCGTGGGAAACATTCCACCTTTCCCCACGACTGCGTTGCTGTCGCTTTGACCTTGGGTTAGAGCCGGAAGGCATCGCGGCCCTCTCCTCTCTAGGCCATGGAGTTGAAACACGTTCGCTAGGTTCCCGACGACGCACTTGAAATGGCAGCTCATGGTCGATCTTCACGCGTTTGGCGGCCGGCTCCTCGTCGTATGTATCATCGTAGGTAGGGGGTCGCCAATAAGGGCTCCCACCCCTAGTCAATGGAGGCGAACTACGAGTGCGAAGGTAATCCGACACCTGTGTTGGCGAACGCACAAGCCTAGGAGAGGAAAATTGGGATGTGGAAGTTCGGCTGCCAGAGCTGGGAGAAGCTTGATGGGAAAGGACTTGCTCAAGGGATTCTTGCTTAGTGGCAGCCAGTTGCTCCAACGGCGAAACGACAGCGCGGATCCTATTGGCCATTGATTCAGAATATGCAGCCGCCCGGTGTCGCTTCAAAGCCATGGGCACAGGCACGGGCGAAACCTTACGTTCAGCTTGTTTTGGCAAGCCTGGGCTGTTCGCTTTCGTCGGGCGAGATCGCTTGGGAGGCTTTAGTATGGAACCATGGTTCCTGGGTTCTGGTAAAGAAAACAGGAACTCTGGATTGATGGGGCCCTCCCGGAGGAATGTGACAGGGGTCACGAAAGATGGAGCACGCATAATGTGGCCTTCGCGATTCGCGTATGGCACAGAAGAAGTGATGGAATGGGTCGCCTTAGGCTCAAGATGGGATCTATTTAAAGGCGCGACGAAATTGAAAGAGTCTGGGGTCTCCTGGGAACATGGCTCTGTGGGTGCATCGGTTCTGACGGATAGTTGACTCTCCATAGCGGATATATGACCATGCTTTTCGACCTGCGAGTGCACAGGCTGGATGGACCGCTTTTCCCACAACCTTCAACCCCCTGAGAAGTTTGGAATTTCGAGCCGCCAGCGCTCGGAAAGGTCTCGCTCTGCGAGGAACGACGCACCGGGCGACCTTGGGAAGACATAACTAACAAGCAGTGGGATGTTTGAAAGTAGGATAGTTGATCAGCCCCGATGCAGAGTGCTTTATAGGGCCCCAGGCCACATCAGAACAAAGGACGTTACTCATAAAGGGCGTTAGTGAGCCATGGCACTTCTATTTGGACCTGTTTACCGGGTGATTTGCGTTTAGCAACGAGCGTGGGAAGGAGGCCCGACCATTCATTGTGCAGATTTGCCTGTCATATGTGAACTTTTCTCCATTCTGCAATGATCTTCAGCGTGTACAACGGTACGTAGAAACACAGGCACTAATTTGTCAAATGAAATTATTTCCCTGACTCTCCTAGCCAACATAGGGTGGTGGCCCGTGAACACTGGCTCTCTGGGAGGGAACACCTAAGTATGGAGGGGGACGACTTTCCTCCGCAGCGTCAAGGGCCCTTCCATCCTCAACACGTATATCATCATTTGACGCAGGGTTACGTAGCTCCTGGATCAGGTGCATACGGGACACATCTGTCCGGCCTGGCAGCGAGGGATCTGCAATCCCACCCTCCTCCGCAGCACCCGCAAGATGAAACCCAAAGGATGGCCTGCTGGATTCAGCCTCGTGGCGGCAGCGGCTGCCGCCGACGCTGCAGCTTCAGCAATCGCTTGCTCCCTGCGATTTCGCTCCGCTTCAGTCAACGAACTTACACCTTCATCGATCGTTGGTGGTGGATCAGAGGGGTCGTCTAGAGCAGGCGGCGGCGGCGGCACGATACCGTTTTCGTCAGCACTAGGGCCATATGACATATACAATTCATCCTCATCTACTGCAACCCCTGCATACTGAGCAAGAGCTTCCGTTAAAGCCGGGATATTTGTCCTTAGCGGATCCCCATCTTCCAACATTGCCACGGTAGTCATGTGGGCATCTGCTCTCGCACTGCTTTGCATCATTGAATGTGACAAACCATCATAATGCTCAGACGGGTGGAACCCGTAGAGACTTCCTTCGCCATCAAAATGCATTTCTTCGCGTCCAAGAGCGGGATTGAAGACCCAATGTCCGAATGAGGATTGCGTGTTCGATGGGCCTGCATGAGCCTCAACTTGTGATTCGATAAAAGTGGGGAGATGAGTAGCCTCTGAGGTTAAAGTTACCTCCTCGAATGATGGGGGCGATATAGGGCTCGGTGAACCACCGTTACTTCCGCCTAAACGGTGTTCGCCCTCAGTGAAAGCTGGAGGAACCGAACCAGAGGGCACTGCGAGCACGTCTTGCTGACTTGCTTCAAGGAATGAGGGGGGCGAAGTCCCGTAGCGGGTAGGTGATGGAGGATATAAAGGATGTGAGGCTGACGAACTAGCGACGTCATCAAATGCCGGGGGCCGGCTGGATCCTTCCCCCAAATCATCCATTCGTGCAGTTTTGACGGGAGGAGGATCGTGCTTTTTGTGATATGCAGCGTCAATCTCGTCGCTTATATCACCCCTGGGCTCCGGCGCAAGCGGAGGAAGTATGATAATTGGAATACGCGTGGAAACTTCCGAAGCATTCTGTGACAAGGACGACGTAAACGAGACCTTGACTTGGATTTCAAATGTAACATGGTGAAGCAGGGTTGTCTGGGTAATATTTCCTGCGCCAAGCGACTCTGCAGTGGAATCGTGCATTATGAATCGCATCTTGAGAGATCTTGTGGAATGAAAACGACAGGAAGAGCCGGATCGAGTAATGACGTTAGAATGCGTGGCACCATCACAACTCGGGGGCGGTTTCTCTGAGGAGGACGTAGAGGGATAGGGGATTGGTTCCCCCACATCGGGAGTTAATGGAAGAGTACTTGAATCGCCGAGCTTCACATGACGCCACAGCTCAATCATAATGTTTCTCAGGCGCAGACCTGATCTGAGCACCGAATGGTTTGGAGGTGCTATAGTAACGTAGACTGGGATCGACTCCTCGACACGAAATATGCTACGAGGCAGCTGGACATTGAACGCAGTTGGGGAGTCAACGTCGACCGACACCGGATCGACCGAGATCGGGACAGCTGAGGGGGAACTATATCTCTCAAGTTGGACTTGATGAGATTTTACCGTAGGAGTGCCTTCTCTTGGATACAATTTTGCCACAAGCGCGTGCGATATGGAGGAAGTTGGGGTCACAACCGATTGGGGCAAATCTGGGTTTAGCGGTATTGAAAATGGCAGTGGTGTGGATAATGATCTGGTTGTCTGCGAAGATGATGACTGAGTTACGTTAGAGAAAAGGACGCTCTCGCTCGCTGCCAGCTCGATCTCATGTCCATCGACAGTCTCCACCGTTATAAGATTTATTGTCCTGCAGCATCCTTGGCAGTCAGGATGCAATAATACCGCCTATGGAGAAGGGTCACCCACACTCGGTCCCATGAAACACCAGGTCCTCCTTGACGTGTAGTTCGCCTTCCACAGATGCGTGATCGTCTTGTACTCCAAGATGACCAACTTGAAAACTCGCAGCCCCTGTGGCAGGGGTGATGAGGACTTGAAGGCTGGTATCACTGTCATCACTCAAGTCACCCGAATCGTGAGTATAGTCAGGAGGGGGTGGGACAGAATCAGCCATAGGGTACTGACTGCTGAAGGTGTTGCTCGGAAAGTGACAGTTAGCTAAGCGCGCACGGGATTCTGGACATTTGCTTCCGAATCCCATTTTCGAATCGTCCATATACAGGTTTCCTACCGTCACTGTTGTAACACAATACGGAGATGTAGTACAATGGGATTCTCCTTCCAGAGATGCATTCATGCAAGGAAAACCGCTCCGAACTTCATTGCCCCTGAACCAGCCCTGGGCGCAGCAACTCCAATCCACACATATTGTAATCCGTACTATCTCTTACAAGGGCTCAGGTATCCAGGAAGTCCAAAAGCGTGGATCCATCTCGGGATCTCATCGTGAGGACAGAGTAGTAGCTCTCCCCAAAAATTGGCGAAATAATCGCCTTGTGCTCCTATCCCAAAACTGGTAAGCGCCACAAAGCTCGGAAGAGGGGTTGACAGAAGCCCACCTCCATCCACGCCAATGGTGGGAAGGGCCTACTGGTCCGCGTCGAGAAAACCCTTTCGTCGTGTCGTTCTTTAACCAGCGTGAGCGCGCCAGGGAGTATGAGTTGCAGCAAATAAAATACATCCACTAGCATAGTATCCACGTTGGAAGTCAGAATAATTCCATGTTCCTGGTGCTCGATGGGACGGAAAAAGGTATTATCGTTGAACAAATGTGTCCAACGGGGGACATTGGTCACAAGGGCACGCAGGTTTGTAGGTATGGAAAAGATCCTGGATGTGGGTTGTGGGGGTATTGCAGAGCTGGAGCTCGATGGATCTCCTTCGTCAAGGTCCTCGCCACCCTCGCCTTCTTCTTCTAAGACGGCGAGCGCCGTCGAAGGGGTTAACAAAGCCCAATGTTCGACCCCGGCAGTGGGGGTAATCTCTCTCCAACCTCGGCTGATGAGTTCTTGCTTTACTCTGTCCAGTAGCGGCAAAGCAGACAAATAAAGGTCTTCAGATGTCAATGCGTTGGGATGGCTCGGTAAACTTGCGTGCCTCCTCCAGGCGCGAAGCTGGTCAGAGTTACCCTCAACATACACATAACAGCGGTTCATCAGGTTGCTATAGGGCGAAAATTAGGAAGAGGGGGAAGATGCGATATTTAATCCTTGCGCATTTCCTTCCCCGATGATTTTATTTCGCGAGGTTGCAGTGAAGGTCACCGGCAGCACCCCTGAAGCCATCTGGAACGCTCATTGTAGTAAACCAGCGGAAAGGGGGTGCTATTCCCGAAGACAAGGACCCATAATTGATGTGTCCAAAGGGATCGATGCATGAAGGGAAACGCCAGTAACGTTGCTATTGAAATCGATCTCATTCATTGCTACGAACGCGGGTCTTATCGTGTGTCGCCTCACATACCATATATGTAAGTAGAAAGTAAATGGCAGAATACTATATTGTGGATGATAGTACATACTCTTAGATCGTAGGTGGGCCTTGCCGATCAACAAGAGGTCCAGATTTTCAAACCAGTCACATGTACATCGTGGGCGACGGTACCGATAACGTCTTATCCATCCAATGCTTGCAAGAACTCAGGTTCACCAATCGGCATAAGAGGGGAGTAAAGAGGAAAAGGGTTTGAATTCGGGATTATGGAGGGGTTTGATTAAATAACAGCCATGCCATAAGCAGCTAAAATAGTCTCGATCACAGTGGGGAGAAAAAAATAACTTGGTTGTTCGGCAATCATATAACACCGCGAGAAGCAACAAATGGGGAAAAAATGCGAAGCGACTAGCAATTGCATGCTTCTTTATTCTTCGTCCCTCCTGCATCCAATGCGACACGTTCAGCAGGTCGGCCACCCGAAGCATTCCCACGGCCCTCGTTTGATCGTGACGATGACAAAATGTGTTCAATCGGGATCTTCTTAGCTAGACAGGCAATCAGTTCTCTGCTCCCACCAACGGGCTTGTCGGAAGGAGCGGCTGTCACTACAGGGCTACGTACCAATTTCAGTAAAAACTTCCAGGATCCCCTCGCCTGACTTTGCACTAGTCTCAAAGAAGAGGAGGCCAGCTTCTGAAGCATATGCCTGAGCTTCTTCTTTCGGCACTTGTCTTAGACTCTCGATTCCTGGAGAACCGGGATTCTCCCCTGGCGTAGCAGTCGCATCATCGGGCTCCACTTCGGTTTCATGCGGCGTTGAAGGTGATGAAGGTTCCGACTCGTCACCATTGGGTGAAGCCGGTGTAACCAAATCTAATTTATTGCCACAAAGGGAAATGACGATGTTGGGATTCGCTTGCCGTTGAAGCTCCTTCACCCAAGATTTCGCTTTGTCCAGACTTGCTGCTTTCGTTATGTCATAGACCACTATAGCAGCTTGTGCGTTTCGATAGTACATGGGAGCTAACGAATGAAATCGTTCCTGCCCAGCGGTATCCCATATTTCATATCGTAGGACGCGATCCTCAAACCGGCATTTTTGGGTCAAGAATGCAGCTCCAATGGTAGGTTCTTTGTTACTCTGGAATTCATTGTTGACCTATACAGATATGGGCAGGATGCGCCTTAGTGCTGCTGGAAAGGGACAAGGATTTAAAGACGTACAAAGCGCATTACAATGGACGATTTCCCGACTGCCGCTTCGCCTGTAAAGTTAAACCCCCTCTTTTAGCATAAGGATGATATCGGAAGGGTGTTGTCAAGGATATTCGGGAGTGCATGGTGCCATGAGGTGGTAGTAAGTATTAGCAAGAGAAGCCCACCTAGCAGGACGAGTTTGACTTGGATAGGCTTATCGGTTGAACCGGATGCTTCATTAGTCGTGTCGGCCATGTCTGACCGGATCCTAGTGCCTAAAGATAGGCTGTAAAGATCTCCTCAGATCTGGGCAGTAGTCGATATGTTTTTGAGGATAGTAGCTGCGCAAGGATGCGGGGTATGTCAAGTGGCAACGTGGACTCCTGTCACTCACGGCATTCTCCGTACCGGACATATTCAGCTTACACAGATTCTAGGACGGCCTTTGATTGGAATTAAACACCACCTTATGGAGTTTGATTGGGCTCATGCAAGCCAAAAACCAAGGGTGTGGTGAAATGAGGGATTTTTGGGCTCAAGTGCTCCTGCTTTGCAGTTTATATTCACACATGAATGAAAGATCCAGCAAACGGCGAGCATCTACATACATTACGAGCTTTAACGGTGAAAATCAACGGGAGAACAAAAGGGCATGAAATAAACACCATCGTGGCGGTCTACTAGCTTCCATTAGCAAGACCAGAACTACGACAATTGCTTCAGATATGATCGGATCAGAGAGATTTTTTCCACTTTGGTCTTGCAAATTTCTCAATGTGTCTCCTGAGTTGCATGCCACGATCTTCAACAGAATCGCGACGCGCGCTTGTAGATCCCGCCATCGACGTGTTGTCAGGAGAATCTAGGACGTAATAAGGCTGCAGATCCTCCCAGGTCACGAAAACGCCATCATCCAGCTGAATGGTGTCGGTGTCTAAGAACGCGGCAGGCTTGACGATATTCTGGCTGTCTGTTTTTGCGGTTCTGTTCCTCTTCTGCCACCGAAGTCGGCTCGACGGGCTGGGAGAGGGAGCTCGAGCGGGTTTTATGGCGTTGGGCTGATCGTAGAGCCACCATGGCTGGCTTTGATATGTGGGATCTGCTCTTTCCAAGAAGGAACGGTACTTGCCCGTGGGGTCTCCGAACACAGCCCACGCAGTTGCAACATGGGGAAGTAGCTCCTTCACGTCCTCATCCTTAGGATCCACTCGCATCAGGAAGTCCGTAGCCGCTTGGATGGTTCCACCGTACCGAGATCTGGCATCCCACATGTCCAATCCAGCCTGCTGTGCTAGTTTGGCGTTAGTCTGAAAGGCGCCCAAAAATGATTCCCAACCAAATCGAGAAGAATTGCAAGGACGGAGAAAAGGGTTAACATGACAACCAGCCATAATGACCAGATAGCTCAGCTTACCATCATCCCCTCTAAATTAAAACACCGATAGTGAAATGGTCGAGTGCGTACGGCCTCAAATGGCTGCTCGCCACTTGCCGCTATCTGGTCAAGAAATTGATGGGTGAAATAATACTGCATCCCCTCCCGGACTCCCCCTGGGTCATTCCGGTACAACTTGATTCCGCCGATCTGGCTCATCCAAAAAGTGCCGTGATTACTAATGGGGAGTGCGGTTAGTCCTCTCCTGACTTCCTACGATAAGAACTTTAGGGGCGACCTACTTTGCAGCTTCTCCAGCTTTGCGTCCAATGTCACTGGTTACCATCCAGTGATCGTAATTGGCGATCCAGGCCTGCATATCCCTTTCCATTGAAGGTGTCCAATTGGAATCATTTGCCGCTTTGAGGATCAGGATCCCATTGATGATCTGGATTAGCGCACGAAGGTCCAGTACCCCCATGAAATCCCCATGTTGAATCCCTGGACCCCTAACCACTTGGCCATATTGTGCGTGAGGGTTCATTGCCGTTTGAGGATCGATAAACCAAGTATTCACTAGCGAGACAGCGGTCTGAGAGTACTTTGCGGGTGTTTTACTAAGAACGGCGGCTAGAGAGTTATAGAGCACAGCTTGTGACATGGACACCATCGAGGAGCTGTCGCCTGGTAGGTTGACATCAGGATTGCGTTGACCATCTTTTGTAATGTATGGACAAGTCGTCCACGCTAGCGAAATAAGTTAGCCGGGAACAAGTGGAAATTTGAGATGAGAGCGTACTTGCGCTGGGGGGCATGCTTTTGGTGGGAGATGGGGTGCAGTTGGGACTTGAAGTCGATGTCTTCACAGGGTTTTTCGCGGGCCTCAGAGTCCCTGTTGCAATATTGGAAGTAGTAGTTGCGGTGCCTGTTGATACCTGCATAGGCGAGGAAGGGGTAGCCATGACTGCCGTAGGTCCAACTATAAGAGGTCGATCAGATAAAATAGGGATGTTGGGGGTCGGAGATGAGTCGCTTTCGTCGTTTGGAGGTGAGATCCCTATGGGGGACTTTGCGACTGGCACGTCCAACGAGATATCCTGGCTGTGATCGATTGTAGGAGGGAGCCATGGGGGCAGATCATTAGCACTGAAAAGATCATAACGAGAGGGATCGTTGGAAGCCGGGTGCTCAAGTATCGACTGTTCTCGAAGGCCCGGGGGAGAAATGACGACGTCGAAGAATTCCCTGCTTTCGATGCTGGATTGGGAGGGGCACCAATTGCAATCTGGCCAGTGACTGCAATTAAACTTCTTAGTTTGATTTGCAAAGAAGGTAAGGAACATAATGCATACTATGGTGCCCAGCTGAGGTAGTCGTGCCTGTTACCGCTCGGAGGCATAACTGTGGAATTGGTCACAGCTATGTCGTGCATCAGCATCTGGCGTTAGTCGATTCTGGTATTGAGTGCTTACACCAAGGTCCCTTCTTCGCAGATGAGCCTGCCGCTTCGACGATCCGCTGCTGGGCGGCCAGGGCTTGGCCACTTGAATGAAAAACGACCCAGTTTGGATCAACCCAATCTATGGGGTCGCCTGAACCCAAGTATAAATGTCATGGAAGAATACTGAAAGCACATAAATACTCACTCAGTACATGCGCCACTAACCCCCCGCAAAGGACCGCTGAGAGGTACAAGCGGCGAGCCATCGAAATGAAGCGGAAGACGAATATGTGTGGAGAAAGATTTGGATACAGCTTAAGATTATAATTCATGCTATAAAAAGGCTCAGTACAGTAGACTCAGGACGATCCTCGGTTTCACTTTCACAAACTGTTGGCCAGTCTGCATCGATCCATGTTTCATAGAATTTGGGTGCGCTGAGAATACCACACTAGATTCAATTCATTTCAAGGTCTCAGTCTGCGTCATGCAGCTGGTCAGCAAAACCCCGGCATAGTCGTAGGTTGCACCCATGGGGAGCCAAGGATATGACCCTGCCCTTGGCTGGTCCCGGTTGTGCGACTTGCTGTAGCCCCCGGGAAAGACATGACCGGGGAATTGCCGGACCATCCCCAACCGGTCCTTAGCCGTTTCCCTCGAGCTTTTTTGTCACATTCCACACGAACAATGAGCGCGCCTAACGCAGTTACACGCAAGGACATTAATCCCTTGCTCGCCAAATATCTTGCAAGCCTTGCTGCGAGGCCCCTCCTGACGAAAGCTGTTACCGCCGGTGCGCTGCTCACGCTGGCTACATTCTTTAGCACTCACACACATTATTACCAACGACGGAACTCTCGAACCCTCTGCATGCTCCTATGCCTGCATGGTTCGTGCATCTTCACACAGGCGCACTGTCGTTTGTCCAAGAAGTCCTCGCCAACCATTTAGCTGGCGTCAACCTACCTGCCCCCAAATCAGCCAACCCCTTGCGCAGCTTCACAGCAGCCGCCAAGATAGACAGTAGAGCATTCAAACTCGCCCTATACGGCTTCTTTATCTCTGCTCCTCTCGGGCACTACGCAGTCGGTTCTCTTCAAAAGTTTTTCGAAGGCAAGAATGGTCCATCAGCAAGATTTCTGCTTCTGCTAGGGAACAACTTGTTTGTTGCCCCTCTTCAAACTGCCGGTGCGTCGTGCCCTATATTGTTATCTGCGCTCTGCGCAATACCCATAGTTCATGAATTGATCTTCCAGCATACTTGACATCTATGGCCGTGATCGGTGGAGCAAGGTCGTCGAGCCAGATCTTGGCTGTGCTCAAGTCTAAGTTCTTCCCAGTGCTCAAGGTATTTGTGTCAGCACACTTGTGGCACTTCAGCCGTTGATTCACCCGTGCATTCAAGATGACGTGGGCGATCTCACCCATCGCCGTGCTTACAGCACAGAAATTCCTTCCCCCAGAGGTGCGTCACAGCTTCAATGCTTAAATCGCATCCAACCCGATCTATCCTGCATTTCTTTCAGACATGGGTTATCTTCTTCAACCTCGTTAGCTTTGTGATGGGGACTAACCTCAACACCGCCATCAAGAAGCAAAAGTTGAAGGCCTTGGCAGAGGAACAGGCCAAGAAAGAACGTGAAGCAAAAGAGAAAGGTGGGAGTGGGGTCGAGTCAACTCGTGTCTAGCTCCATTGACTTCGTCATTGTTGCCCCAACGCCCCACTTGACAGTTCTTCTCCACTAGCCTTTCACCCTTGCATATTAATACTACTCTTATTCTTCATGCATGCAAATCGGTGGGATTGTTTTTAGGTCTATCGACTCCCACATCCTGTACTTTCTGTGTTTCAATTTTACACATGTTGACGTTGCTGGTTCCAAGAAACTCGACTCTAGTATGATTTGCAATAACCCACACATGCTGTTCGTAGACATGTAAAGCAACAAGTGGAAATGAAATTTCGGGCCCCCACATAGATAAGATCAAGGAAAACACGAGTGAAATGAAGGGATGAACTTTTCGATGATCATCGCTAATGATGCGGTATCCTCGGTTATCGGTATTCATTCAGCTAATGTTTCGCCGGTGTCCCTTTGACCCTGTGTTGGGAAAGATTTGAGATCAGACGGATAGCCACGGAAAAAGAATTCCTTCCTAACTCACCAGATTTTAACATAATCAGCGAGAGAAACCATGCAAATGGTTTGCCAGATACCCAGCCCGACACGAGGAGTAACACCACGGTACAAACCCTTAATACCATTTTCACGGTAGACGTATGCGAGGGTATTTAAGACAGTAGGCTTGGCGGGACGCTTTGAGTCGGCAGATTGCTTGACCATGGACTGCATCTCCACACGAACGACTTCGATAGGCTGGTTCCATGTTCCAAGAGCACCACCTTTTGAGGGTCAGATTCAATTCCCGACCTCTGGAAATGACGAATGAATTATCATACCAATAGCTGAACTGGCAATCTTGTCGAGAGCCGTGACCTGCTCGCCTTCCCCCTTGCCCTTATACTTACGAATGAGGTCCTCAGCTAGACGAGCGAAACCCATCCTATTGAAATTTCAAAGTTAATTTCTATAGTACGAAAGACAGGCTATCCCGAAGCCTACCGAGAACCCCAGTTGGTTGCCTGACGAACCGCAACGGCATTCACTCCCTTGTTGATTCCCGCGATACCCTCTCTGCGATAGATATCAGCGAAAACAGCCCACGTTGATGGTGGCTTTACACCCGTGGCAGCTTGCTTCGATCGCGTTATTTCTGCCGTCTTCATGCACGTCGTGAAGCCTATTTTCGGAAGGGGTTGCAGCATTCAGTTCCACCCGAATTGACTCAAAAGGACAAAGAAAATGAATTCACCCATCGTAGCGTACGCTTGAGCAACGCCACCGCTGATACCTCCTAGCAGACCACCGGTCGCCTGACTTACGCCAAACGATGCCGCGCCACGTTCGACTTCAGCAGCCGTGAAGATCAACACGCCTCCTTTTGTCGATGCCTCGATCCAAGCCCAAGGGATGAGACCTTGGTAGAACCCGGTAACGCCGCCTCGTGCCCAGACACCCTTCAGTGCCTGTGCCATCGTCTGGTTACGGTTGGCGGCCATTTGAGTCTTGATGACTTCGAGAGGCTGGCCTAATGTAGTGACCTAGTAAAAATACATGAACGCGGCGCCTACTAGCGCTGTTTTAGCCAGCCACTTGGAGGGGCGAGCATACCTCCTGGTAATGCGGATTAGGGGGTTAATGAGTTAACAATGTGCATACAAGCATCGAAAAGGACCTACAAACTAAAGATCCAATGCACGAAAACCGCACAAAATGAGTGTCAGATGACAGTTCCAGGCAATATCAGGGCAGTCTCTGACCATGTTCATAATAGCGCCTAGATAAGCATTCAGGTGAATACATGAACGAGCATATCAACGATGATGAACAGTATCCCACCGACGGCGATGTTACTCCAGTTTATCCCATGTTGACCTGGTTCCTTCGCGATGGCCATCTCTTGGTGATAGTTGGGTGGAAGATCGTGGAGGGGTCGCCTGGGAGGGAGGCGAAAATTCGAGGAGCAGGAGGATGGGTTATGAAAAGAAAAAAGGATGAAAAGACGCGAAGCAGTGAAAGCGTTGGGACCAAATGGCTTTCCACAGCGTGGGGAAAACTCGGACTATGAGAATCGAATTGAATTGGGCCAATTTAATCCTTCCCCAACTGGTTAAGTATCGTCCCATCCTCTCACGGAAAAATAAATTAATTTAGGGGGGGAGCAATGGATGTGTCGCTCATGTACAGGAGGGAGGCGGGTATGTGAGAGAGGTATAGAGAAAAGCAAAATAAGGGAAACGAGGGTGTGGATTCACAAGATGGAAGACGAAGAACGACATGAGTTACCGCAAAAACTGGAACCGTATTCGTCGTGAACAACCATATCGAGTCAAAAAAAAAAAACAAGAAAATCATGCCGATGCAGAAATGTCGCTGACGCGAGCCTTGAGTTGGCTGAGCTCATCAGCTTGCCTACAAGGGAAGATATCTTAAGAGATGCCTTCGGACGGGTGTAGAGCATTTTAACTTACCGCTTGAGATCATCTTCAAGCTCACCCTTCTCTTGAGTTGCAAATACAAGCTCCAGTTCCTTATGTTCCTTCTCACCCTGCACCTCGTTGACCAACTCTTCGAGCCGAGCAACTTGATCCTTCAACGCCTGCATTTCTTTGTTATGCTCCGCCTCTAACGTCATTAAAGTCACGTTGTGAGCCTGGTGGAGCTTCTCGATTTCCTCTTTGCTCACTCCCGCTTTACTCGGAGTGTGTCGCGGCGAAGAAGGGGGCGAGCGGACCTGTTGGAATGTCGCGATTTGTGCCAAGGCTTTCTCCTTCGCATCCCGCTCGTCCTCGAGCACATGACGAAGTTCGGCCTTCTCAGCGTTGTGGTGAGCCAACTCTTGCTCATGCTGATCTTTCAAAGTCGTAATATCTTGAGTGTGTTTGGACACTATGTCCTCCAACTCTCGGGCATGTGCCGCAGTGTGCGCGTCGGTATCCGAGGCAAAAGACAGTTGAGTGTCCTCGAGTAACTTTTTATAGGTGTTCATGTCATCAATGGCACTCTCCACCTCCCTCCTCGCCTGCGCCAGCTTCTCCTGAGCGGCGGCATCAGCACTTGCGGATGCCGTCGTAACGGCATTGCGCGCTTCATTGACCTGTTCCTTGAGAACAGCCTTGTCCTCCTCAGAAGAAGCGAGATGTGTCTTACTCTTCGCGAGATCATCAGTAGTGGCGGCAAGGTTGACAGAGAGTTCCTTAATATGCTTATTGAGTGCGCCTGTTTGTTCCTCCAGAATCTCCTTATGGGATGCACTGAGCTCTGCGATATTGTTTTGGTGAGTGGCTTGCAATTGTTCGTGAGTCGCCTGAGATTGAGCACGGAAAGCTGCTAGTTCCTGTGCATGAGCGGCAGCGGCTTCAGACTAGGGAGGTATGAGGAATTTACATATGCATCTACATATACCCCTTGCTTACTTTGGCATCATTGAACGCCTTCTGCAATAACTCATCATGCTGATTGCGAATTTCGCGGACTTGAGCATCGAATTTCGCTTGTTGAGCCTAAAAACATATAATGTGCGAGATAAGAACGGCAAGGTTGAAGATGCAACGAGAACGCACTTCAAGATCCTTGGACAATCTATCAACAGTATTATTCAAGGAAGCAATCTCCTGCTCATGATTCTGCTTTGCTGCGATGAGCAACTTCTCCTGCTCCTCAACCTGGGCTTTGACTCGAGCTTCGTGCCGCTCCGTCAATGTCGTCAGTGCCACCTCTCTAGCGGCAGAGGCCTTAGTTTCAGCGTCGGCAAGAGCGGCAGCGAGATCAGACGTGTGCTTCTCCCTTGTAGCTTCAAGTGTTTCTTCCCATTTCTTCGCGGCAGCCTCGTGAGCTGAGGCTGCGCGTTGGATGTCCTCTTGAAGGCTCTTGGTTAATTGATCCTTCTCTTCCCAGTGCTGTTGTTTGAGCAAGGCGACCTCCTTTTGACGTCCATTAACCTCTTTGTCCGCTACTTCATTAGCCTCGAGCACCTCTACGTTAAGTTCGTCTATCTTGCTCGTGAGCTCCGCATTGTCCTTCTGATATTTCTCGAGATCGGCCCGGAGATTCTGAATAAGTCTCTCGTTTTCAGCATTCCGGATTTGAGCATCAGCGAGCTTTTGAGCTTCCTCGGAGAGCACTGCAGCGTGCTTCTTGCTAGCCACTTCCAGCTCAGCTCTGACAGCAACAGCTTCCACCAATGCCGCTTCGCCTTGAGACCTTGCATCTTCAAGGGTTCTGATTTGCTCGGAAGCGCTAGCCAATAATTTTCTGGCTTCGTCCAATTCGACCCTGACCCGATCTGCCTCCGAGGCTGTGGCAGCTGCATGCGTCTGTGCAGCTTGAAGCTAAGGACACATATTAGCGGCATGTGTCGACGTTAGTGGAAGGACCTTACCTGCTCTTTTAGCTTTTCTGCTTCTGCAATCGAAGCTTCAAACTCGGCCTTCAGCGAGGCGATGTCAGCAACCAAAGTCTGGTTGGATTCGGTGTAGCCCTTAACAGTTGTTGAAAGTCTCTCAAATTCTGCAGTTTGTTGAACGCCCTGTGCAGTGGCATGCTCAAGTTTTGCTTGAAGGTCACTTAGTTCCACCCTAAGCCCCTCGATCACTCCGCTCTTCGCATCGAGCTCTTTGAGGCTTTCGGCGACCTAACAAACAATTGAAAAGAAACCCAAATGAAATGCAGGATACAAGACTATACTTTGGCGTCTAGCTCAGACTTTGCGGTAGGAGGCGTTTTAACATCCCTAACGGATGGAGGGGTAGCACGAGCCGCAGACACGCTTGGGCGTATGACATGTCGGGACCCAGCAGTTGGGGCAGTTGGAGTCGGACGATTAGCAGCAGGCTTTCTGCCGGCATCAGTGGACACCGGGGTTGCCTTCCCACCCGTGACAGAAAGGGTAGGGGAATCTCGGGACGGTGCAACAGGCTTGACGTCTGTTGCAGACTTCAGCGCTGTATTGGCAGCCGTGCTAGAACGAAGAGGGGGCTTTGCGGAACTGGGAGCTACGGATGCACGCGAAGCAGGAGGCTTAGTGGCACTTGTAGATGGAGGAGCAGTAGAGAGTCTGCGAGAAACTGCAGACGTCGTAGTAGTACTAGTTGTAGGAGGAGCTTTGGTGGCAAAGATCGCGGTTGAGGTCTTGGGTGGTGCAGACACGGATGAACTCAATAACTTCCTAGCCGCAGTAGATGCAGGAGTTTTCGAGCTAGGAGCAGGGGCAATGGATGGCCTTCCAGCAGCCGGCTTGTTACCAGGTGTGGCTGTTGATTTGGGCAGCGGACGTGTCGCCGATTTTGCGGCTGCCGGGGTTGTTCTCGTTTTTGCGTCGGTAGATACAGGCGCCTTCACCTTTATAGTCGCAGCGGTAGATTGGGTGTCCTCTGGGTCGGCGGCAGAAACTGACCCGAGGCCTTTCTCTAATGTCTCATCACTGATGGCTTGGAGAGTTCCGCCGACCTCTGCGGGAAATAACATCAATCCCATTATTTCACGTAGGAAGGATAGGGACCCACAACCTCTTACATACCGTTTGAGACAGCGTTTCCCGGGCCCTCTGGTAATTGCACAGTCGCGTCCCCGTTGAGACCATTTTGGAGTGACACGATGGCTTCAGCCATGACTTTTGATACTAAACCCCATTAATGCGCGTAGAATGTGAGAGGAAAGAGTTGGACGCACAGGAGAAGACCTAGAGAACGTAACAACCCCACTTCAGCCAAGAGAGAGCTCAGCGGCAGGTCTGTTTCTTTCGAAAGCGTGAGGCTTTCTGTCACGTGATGAGGGCTGATCATGTTCTCGAACTGAAAAGGGAATCCTTATCGCGCCCCAAGTATTCATGAGCTCGAACATCGAAGGGGATGAAGTGCCAATTGCTGTCTTGCCAATCAAATACTCTCAATCCATGCACCCTAATCTCCACCTGCACCAGTTTCACCTCCTAGGCAGGTCGCTAGTGGTACCACCGGAAGCTCAGGAAGCTGGGAAAATTATCAAAGCTCGATACAAATCAAAAACAGGGCGCTACGAGATTCATCTGCCAAACGACGTGCGAGCCTCTCACTGGAATGCTGGAAAAGGGCTTGGATATGGTTCTGCACGCTTCGAACAGGACCGGGAGGAGGCTGCTGTTCACGACATCAAACTCAAATCGAAAGAGCCACAAGAGACTCGGCTTAGTGAAACTCGGCTTACCAGCGAAAAAGTGGAGCACCATGGAGAATACGTGATTGGTGTCGTTCGTGATGGTAGGCATAGACAACACCAGGACCGATATACTCCTCAACGACGCTCTTAGGTTGTCTTCACCTCCATCCCATCAGTGAAACTCATCAGTTTAAGCCCAATCTCTCATATCTTGATTTTTCAAGGAAGACAAGTTCCAAAAGAGCAGCCTTAGGGGCGCCCGTGAACCCAGCCTCTGATGACGAAGGGCCTGACTCTGACGATGCGGATGATGATCACCCTGCCGTTGGATCGGCGGCTTCGAAGCCAAAGAAAAGGCCTGGGGCAGGTGCAGGGCTCCGAGAAATTAGCGTGTCGGCTAAGCGGACAGACGATGGCTGGCAAGGAGCATCTTTGTCTGATGTACGGTTAGAGATAATGGCGAAAACTCAAAGTGAAAGAGAAGCACGTTGGTTTGACTTGGAATACCGTGGAATTGAGGTACCTAATCCATCCATGCCTGCCGAGAATAATTTTGATGGAATATCACAGAGCGTTGAAGGTGGTGAAGCGTATGAAAAGCTATTTTCAACGCGTTCGGATGTGCTTGAATGCGCTTCGAGTATGAGTAGCATACTAGATAACGTCAAAGGCCTGCGCTGAAGATCCTCGTTCACCCTGGCTGACGTATAGCATAATTTTTACACTACAGACATCTTTTCACGCTTCAGCGTCAGCTTCTAGGTCCCACGCCATAGGCAGACTGGTTCATGATATTGTATGACGGGGGTACAGTCCAATGCGGCTCTAATACGCAATGAAATAACCACGTGTTACACGAGAGGGTGACTCAGTGATGGTGGTGTGCCCGTTGGAAGCGAAGCCCACTGGTAGGAAACATCTCAGTCGTAGTACGTTCCCTCCAACAAATGACAAACATACCAGTAGCTGAAAAATGGGAGAAAGAGCATGCAAGAAGATGAGGATACGTAAGAATTGCCGGACAAGTGACCCGAACAGATACGTCTATAACATACCCGCATGGCCGTGGGCCGGGTTTATCCTGTGGGTGCATTGTCAGACATACTCAAAGCGAAGCTAATGACAACTCACAAGGTTGATGAATATTTTTGGATGACCAAGAGGCCCTCCACCTGATATGAAGTCGTTAGTCAGTACCGAGAAAGAAAACTGTCAACTTGCCTCCGTCACACACAGCGATACGGGCATCGCTCAGAATAATTGGCTGGCTGTTCACCATCTCCATAGCGCTTTGAGGTGTAGGTTGATACTCCTGTGCTATTTGCTCGAAGCGGGGACTCGATTTAGGTGGTGGGCGGAGTTGCTGGGACGTTGACCATGGCTCAAGTCTATCTGGAGCCTGAGGAACGGATTCTACAGGGCCTGGTATTGGAGGGAGAGGCACAGAACTGCCCAGCACTGTCGTAGAGGATGCTAACGTCTTAGTGAAACGTACCGACGGCAGCGATCTCAGCTTCGGCAACATTTGTGTCACCGAGTTTGGGGGCCGGCTGCGTCCGGCTTATGTCAGCGTGGTCTCCGAAGTTTGGACGCGGGCAATGCCTTTTACACTGGAAAATTGGTTTCTGGACCTGAACGTGTTGGTGCAACGTCAGTGGGGTGTCTATCAGCTGACTAGAAGCACCCTGCGCCCCCCGTTTGAGTTGTGCAAAACTTGACTGAGGCTAATAGACGAATAAACTGTTCTTCTGCGCGTCATGTGTGGCCTAACTTCAGGGATCCACTTTAAAACCCCTGGACGTGTCTGAGTTTCGGTCGGCATGTTCTTCGCAGCCAAGTCGGCATTCTGTATGCTTCCCCACGCCGGGAACTATTTGTGGCTGACACCCGAAGATTCACTCCAAGCAAGACAACCGCTTGGGTCAAATGTCATCGGTGCCAGGAAAAACTTGTCTTGCTCCTTCCCCTTGGCATCGACAGCTGACGCAATGTGGGTGGTACATAAAACAACCGAGTCTGGAGCCGTCTTCGGTAGTCTAAGCCTCAATCGTCACCGAGTGATGGATGAAAAAGTATTAAAGATGCAAGCCTCTCCGATTTCCCGCACTGTTCCAGAATGCGTCTTACATACTATACCTCAGCTATCCTTCTTCTGTCAGGCGCCGCGTACGCTGCACCGGGAAAATATACACGCGAACGAAGGGCGCCTACTTCCTCGGGAAAAGTCGTCGTTGCTCAGTAGGCATCCCCGGATCGTTACGGTTTCGGCACTAACATGGTTCCCCAGTTTCATAGTTGGGAACTCATACGTGAGTCTGTGGCCATAAGTGTGTGTGTGTGTTCCTGATTAGGAACCACTCCAGTCGTACACTCAAGACTTATGGAGGACCAATATTCAAGTTGCTCAAGCGGGTGGCATGTAAGCTCGCATTGTCAATTTTTTTTCATTCCAATCTCAGTGTTCACGCTGGTAGCGATGGCTTCGCCCTAAATGTCGGCTCTGACTCTTGGCAGCAAGACAGAGTTAGCGATGCATATGCCGCAGCCGCCTCATTAGGCACCAGCTTCAAGCTCTTCATTTCTCTGGACATGAGGTTCGTTAAGCACTTGGCTTTGAATGCGGGCATCACAGATCATTGACGCCCCCACTCAGCGTGATACCGTGTGCAAATGCAGGCGACGCAGCGCTGGTCCGCTCATACATCAATAACTACGCTCAAAACGGGAATCAACTCTACTACCAAGGAAAGCAAGTAGTTTCGACATTCGCTGGGGAAAATTGTCGCTTTGGCCAAGGTAACCTCAATGACGCTTGGAACTATGCGGTTAAGACGAGCGTAAACAGTAGCGTATGCCCGATAGCACTGGTGCTTTTTTGCTCAGCCCTGACGTATTTTTGTGGCCAGATTGCCTTTATTCCCTCGTTCTTCGTGGACCCGAACACGTTCGGCAGTCTATCTGTCATTGACGGTGATTTCAACGTGCGATGACATATTAGCATCGATTGCATTTGGGACTCATTTCATTTCCATCAGTGGAATGGTGGCTGGCCGCAAGGGAATTCCGACATAACCTGGAATTCCGTAGGTTTCAACGTTGTGATGATCGGTGACATGGCTGAATCCAAATTATCAGGATGCAACACACCGCAGTGCAATAGGCAATCGCTTTTATATGGCTGCAGTGTCACCTTTGTTCTTTACGGCAAGTTGAAACTCATTCTCCCATGCACGTCTAACCGGTGTTTGTATAGCACTATGGTCCAGACTCATACAACAAGAACTGGATATATAGAAGGTTGGGTGGGATCCAGTTTTTTTTTTTGCCCAGCACTGAGTATTTCGCAGCGATGATTGGCTTTATTCGGCGCGTTGGGAACAATTGTTTATTTACCGACGCCAAATTGACATAGTTCAAGTGAGTTTGTTCGAAAAGTATAGGGTTTTCTCTTACATGGTCTTCTATTTCGTAGATCATTTCGTGGAATGGTATGTTCTTCCACTAAATTCGCCTCCTGAGCTCGCTCTTGATTATCTTGCAGATTATGGTGAATCACATTACATCGGTAGATATAATGATTCTGTGACTACTCCTTCAGTGTTTAATCTAATTTCAACCAGGTCCCATTGGCCCCGATCAACCCAATTCACAAGCATGGGTCAACGGCTTTGATCATCAAGGTATACGATTCTACGAAACTCAATTGACATCGATCGTTGTACTGATTCTTCCTCTAGGCTGGGTTACGATGACAAATTTCTATGCCACCGGGTGGAAGGCTGGTGCCTTTCCAACGATCACTAAGAGTCAAATATTCTTGTCCGCCCGGCCCCATTCTCGCGATGCCGTGATCAACAATGCGGCCGTCCCAAAGCCTTCAAATTGGCAATGGGTTAGTCCATTATGTGTTGAAATCATTCGTACAGCGTCTCATACCCTTCCACCACAGACTGACGACAATCTTTATGCCACGATCTTCGCAGCCAAAATAGCAACGTTAAAACTTCAGATTGGCTCTTCCAATATCACGTCAAACATACGGGTGGGCGTAAACAAAGTTAGCCTGCCCCTTAGTCCAGGGTCGCCGACTGCTACGTTAGTAAGTGGGGAAGCCGATTTTATTAAATTCTCTCCTAGTGGCTTCACCTATACTGCTACCCCCACTGCATATAATTTTAATTACTATATGGCTGCATCCCCCTAAATCTATTCGTTCCAAAGACTGCATATTTGTAATTGATTAATGTATGTAACAATAGTCTTCGCGTTGCTGTACAAATTCCAAACTGTTAAATCACCGCCGTACCAAGTGTGCACATTCCCTCTCGACAATATGCGCAACGTGCAGTTTGCAGTCCTTCAGGCCAAATGACTACTCTATCGATAGCTTTCCACTTGTGCCTTGGACAATCTCTTGTGTGCCATTGACTGCGTCCGCGGTCGGCGCCACCGATGCTTCAAAGGGGACACTTGACTCCTTTATAACATTCTCATTGGCGGCTGGATGTTTCTGCCCGCCTTTCTCCTGTAAACACAGACGGGTCAAAAAGCTTTCCGAAGAGACGGAGGACGAAGTTTACCTTCTTCTTCTTCGCCTCCTTCGTTACTGGTTTTTCGGACGGATAAGCATCTTGGTTGGCTTTTTGAAAATCTGGATCGCTATCATATGCCTTTTGGATTGGTTCAAGAAGTCTGATAATGGCATTCGCCACAGCTGTTTTCAGATCTCCAGGGTGTAGTTTTTTGTCCACAAAGTCCTTCTCTATTTGCTCGTAGGAAGAGTAATGCATAGAGCCGCCCCACTTCTCTGGGCGCGAAATCGAGAAAACGGTGCCTGGAGGGGCGTCATCGAGGACGAAAGGCTTCTGCAATTCAGATTTTGCATCGACTTCTCCCGATGTTCGCATTTCTATCCACAGTTTGCTTATCGGGATGAGCACTGCCCCAACGAAGGACAGGACACCATTTTCCGCAATATTCCCTTCTTCACAAAACGCCGCCTTGATCTTTCTACGAACGTCAGCCGGCTTGTCCAGGAAGTCTATTTTTGAGTTGGGATCAGAAGAAGACATCTTGCTCCCAGCCAATCCTGGTACCATCGGATTCATGAGATGGGCACGTTTCCGATAGCCCAGTTTGGGAAGGGTAGCCTCAGCGAAAGTGAATATCTTCCGCTGTAAAATTCCATGTTAGCGAGAGCATTTCGCTCGTAATCGTAATGGATTTTACCTGGTCAACCCCTCCAAATTGAAAATCACAATCGAGGTACTGCTCATCCAAGGCTTGCAATCCCGGATATAGCAGTCCGCTGAGTAGAGGACTAGCGACTTGCTTTACGACTTCTGCCCCTGCCTTCTTCGCGTCATGCTCTGTGACGGTAGCGCACAATCGATAATTATCCATATTGTATTCCTTAGTTAGCTGATAGTCTGAACCGACAACGAACTTCAATTTTTCTACGGGCACCCCGATAGAAACAAAAACCGAGCGAAGGACGTATGAATAGTATTTGACTCGATGTTGAACCAACTCAAGAGGCGCTTTGAGGTTGTCTAAGAATGCGTGGACATCTGGAATATATAAGTAAGAGTTACACTAGCAGAGGCAAGCATTGACACGCCATGAGCGCACCTGCGAGCAGAATTGTGACCTATTGGCGTTTTTCAGACAAACCGTCAGCACTTTTTAGCCATTAAAACATACCTCGGTGCCTGCCTTCAGGAAATCGGATATTTTTGTCATAGGAACAAAGTAACCGATGTGCGCTGTGTCCTCAATCTTAACAATCGTCGCTGTCGTATCATGCAACACAACATACGTCTTCCGGTAGGCGCAGTGCCTAATGGAAAGAACCGCCCCGATCAATTTCAGGCGGTCGCGACGGAAAACGCAGGCAGCATTCACCCCAGTAGCACTTCAATGGTCTCCCTTCCTCCAAAATCTTTTTGATGATATCCCCACCGAGAACCTCTTGGAGGTTACGGGTTACTAATTGGTAGGTCGCTGCGATATCTGTCATGGTGAGATCGAGGAGGCGCCGCCTGAGAGTAATCTGTTCATTTTTGACTCATTTCACAACCTTCCCACGGTCCAACTCGTCCGCTCTCAGACCCTTTTGGGGTAGCTTCTGTTCCGCCGATATGAAGCCCCTTGCGGCTTTAGGGCTCGGCTTTGGCGATGCTTTGGCCCGTGAACCACTGAGGGGAGTGATAAACTCCAGTAGATGCACTTCGGCCGATAATCGAGTGCTTTGCAGTCGGCTTGTTCGCCTCGATCTGCGTCCTGCACCAGGATAGTCGACTTAATCTATGTCTGAAGTCGACTCGTCGATTGACGCTGTGGCCACTCTCGTTGCTGAGAGTGCAAGCGTCATTTTTTTTACCATGTTTATCGTGCGATTCAGAGTGCTGCGCTTATAATTAAGCGGGAATTTTCTTTTTGGTTCCTTCCTCAGTTTACGTACTCTGAACTGAGGCGTGGTCCTTTGTTCTCGGAAAGATCTGTTTATTGACATCTGTACCCTACTTGCATTAAATACACTTCTTGTACCCTGAACTGAGCACAGTAACGCTAAATTCCAATGATCTGTATACACCAGGGTTCTGCTTTCGCACAACCATGTGGACGGCGCATCACCCTTTTGGGGTGCGGGATCATTCAAAACGGCACTGAAGTTCATCCCTGAACCGAAAGCGATGTCCTTGCTGCTCATCAACGACCTGCACATTCGGAGGAAGATTATAAGGACAACAAGTCTACCTTCTTCATTGCTGGAAGGTAACAATGGACTCTCTCAAGGCGTGATTATTGTCAACCCGTTCTCCTGTCCGGAGACCATTCCCTTGATGCAGCCAAGATGTAGATATATGATTTAGAAGCGGAAGTTGACTCTGGGTGCTCACTTTCGCAATAATTTTGTATTACTCCAATGAGTTATTATGTGCACGTTTGGGGCCTACTTAGAGACCTGATTCGGTTCAGAACAACAACCTCGGGCGAATCTCAGGCCGGGGCTCGGTCAAGTGCGTCCGATCATGCATGGTTCCAGCGTCAGCGATAGGGATAACGAATACCTCGTGGTGAGCCAGTAAGGCGGATATCACCACTTGGAACTTGACATCCGGGTCCGAGCCCCGCAAATGGAAGCGCACTTTTCTGGGAGCTGGGACTAACACTGCTTGCTATCATGATCATCCCTCAATCAAATTTCCTGCTCTGATGCAGGATGGCACAGCCAAATTCATACATTGGAGATGGGTAACGTCTGGCGGAGCCCTGTGGGGGCGATTCTTAAGACGCCCCTGGATATACAAGGCTGTGGGGTCATAGAGTAGAAGTTGGCGGGTTATGGTTATTGGACTAAGTGTTGGCGTTTGCTGAAACGCCTTCCCCCCCCTCCCCCGGCGCTTCGCCCAGGACAAGAAAATTTCCCTGTATGAAAGTGGCTAGCCTTGCGCAGATGTCAAGGACTCGAATTAAGCATTGGAGATGATCTCGCACTCGGCGAAATGGGTACAGACAATGGGCAGTGGGGTTAAAGGCATTGGCTAGTGGGGGGGGGGCAGCTTTCATATGATTCCATCGTCCGACAGCCTGGTGACTCCTCGGGAAGCGGTGTGCAGTGTGGGTGACCTTGATGGTGTAGTTTGGTCGACATGAATCTGGGGTGCAACGGGTGACGGGATGGCAGGGGGGGAGGACATGCGCACCATTATGCGCTTGTCTTATCGCACTCGGCCTGGAAATCATCGTCCCCACCGCTTACATCGTTTGCTTTGCTCTCGCTCGAGCCTTGCTGCACTTCATAGCCGGAATATACTCACTAGATGGATCATCACACTCTGGGGATGCGATGGCACAACCCGATCTTACTTTTTCACGTGGAAAGGGTACAAGGTGCATGGGCGGTCACACCACTCTGCGGCCCACAGAGAACAATTGCGTGGCATCCCATGGCAAAACCTCCTAAGTGTTCAACTCAACATGTTGCCGCTGTAAATCTCAGGAATTACCAATCCTAACGTCATGCAACATGTTCTGCTTCCGCTACTAGGCATTAGCAAAAAAGGCAAGTGGTAGGCGAATCAACGGTATATTAGAATCAGGTCTTCAGGGAATGTTCAGCACGAGGGATGGTGATAGATCATAGGTCTTTATCTTTCCATTTTTCGCAGGTTGGGCTGAATATCCATGCATTGATTCTTCCTATAAAGCAGTGCAAGCAATCCGGAGGCAGGACCATGGTGCAGCGCACACTATAACATGAATATTCTTCGGTCCCAAAGTCCGGGACCATCCGTCGGACAAGATCGAGAGACGAGGCCCTTGCTGAGCATCAAAACAAGGATTGTGAGACAATGATGAATATCCCCCGGGCTCGTCCTGCTGGATCCGCTTTGCAGCGTGCAATTGCCCAGGTTTAACATCAATCAGGGGACGATATTACCTCGGCTTTAAAACTCACCAGCGAATTGGCTTCGAGACTGTATAATGGCTGATCTTCGATCATCATAAGAGAGGGAGGGAGTTTGGACCAGGTTACCATCAGGGCATCCGATTTGCGCCACTGCGACGAACGGTAGCCTCTTGCCTTGCCCGAAATATAAATATCATCCTGGTATATATTTGGCCGAGACTGTGGGTTACCCATTTCCAGGGACGACTGAATTTCTACCTCGCCTGATATGGCTATCGGAGCAACCCGAACCATTCCACCCGCTCGGCCACAAACTAAGGGCAACCCCGGAGAGTGCTTAGTGAAGCACTGTCACCCTTTGGGTTGAATGGATAAGATCATCCGGTAACATACGACCGCCCTTTCCAGGCTTGTGTCGGCTAAATCAGTTTCAGGTCGATTGAGTGCATTGCTATTCGAAGTCATAGGGGCTCGTGGGACTTCAATCGAAGGACATGAGGCTGTATCAATGCACCAGGAATGGACGGAACTCATAGACTACCAGACGACTGAGAGTTCCACGAAAGGGAATAAGGACAGCCCATTTGTGACGATCACGCGATTCCCTTGGCGCTGTGATGAAACATCAACGGTGCACTCCAACATTAGAGGATGTACATAGCGGAAGCTTGAATTCAAACCTCATCACCGATGTCACTGATCCGATCCCAAGGCCTAATCAACCATATCAGGTACTGGAAAGTTATCGCAAATAACACGTTTCCTCGGCAACCGCCACAGGTCAAGATAAATTTTTAATTTCTGCTTGAGTTTTCACGACGTCTGTGCGGCAGACTCCGACTGCGAAGCCACAACAAGGCTGGCGCCAAAAGTTTCAACTGGTGATGGCTCACACCAGGGTTTGATTGCCTACTATCGTGCCTTCATAATGGTGATTTGACTGATTAGTGCTTGTCGAATCTTTCGGGATTGCTCACAGGGACACGGATAATGGTTACCGTCTGAGGCCACACACTCCACATGACCCCCACATGTGACGGGAGACAAACCCCGTCACTCGAGATGAGCAGCCACCTCCAATTGTTCGGGGGACTCGGACTACAGAAAGAGCAATTCCAACTAAGCGCTCGCGCACCGAAGGCCCCGCGCACTGAAAGCCCCGCGCGAGTGAGGTATTGTAAATGATGCCGTGTTGGGTGAATTTCAACCCAAGAGCTGTTAAGTTGCGCAAGAGGCCTCTTTCTGATCCGCCCCCTGACACTGCAGAGCTTGTAAAGGACGTCCCAAACGTATCGGTACGCACGGAGTCGGGAATCTGTGCAATTTATGATCGTCGCCCACGTATCGCATCACAGCAACATCACAGTAATAGTGAGCTACGTCACAGGTTTTCCTGTGGCATTATCTGTCGGCTCCTGACGTTGAAAAGCAACGATCGTTTATCACCATCGAGAATCTCAGTGCCGAAATCATTGGGGAGGGAGACGAAAACTAGATCACGTGTATCAAATTTAAAGTCAGAGTAATTTATTGCTGTTGCCAGACCGTTGAGAATCTGTCCTGGGGCACTGCAGAAGTCTACCAAATGCACATCCATAGCGACGTTGATCAAGTTGGATTCCTGAAACTGGAAAACTTGAGAATTTGGACCCAATTCATCTGCTCTGGCATTTACCTTATTAAGTTTTAGTGTAACCAGATCCGCGGACAGATCCACCCCGTTGCCCGAGAAGCAAGACCTGAGAAAATTCAAAATCCGACGGGACACAAATGGGGGATCCTACAATTATATAACCTGGTGTTCCTGTCCAAAATATGCTCCAAGCATCTACTTTCTCTCCCGCATGCCCAAAAAACCTTCATCAGTTCGGATGGAATCCTTAACGCCCTTGCGGCGGAACCAGGCGGTATGTACAACCCTTCGAAGCCACCGAGTGTTTGGCTAATGCGACTTTAAGTGTCACCAATGCAGGTACTCTTTCTTTCTCTAACTAAACTTCGGTCTACTCACATAGAATGAAGGCGCAAGAAAATGAAGTGCGATGCAAGACGCCCCGTTTGTACCCCTTGTACGAAAGCATACGCCCATTCGATCGCTGCACTTGCGGTTCAAGGACAACCCTTCCAAGTGCCATGCTCATATGACCATGACAGCCAGGACGACCTAGGTGCATCTTTTCGTCTCCCGTGCTGCAGGCTTGCCTAGGCTTAACTTGGCGTACAGGCCCTTCAAGGTCAAAATCGGTAGAACCCCCCATGGTTGGCTCTGTGAGGCAAAGCCCCCCCGTACGGCCGTCCACTTCAAACCCCTCAGATCATTTCACACTTCGAAGTTCTGCTTGGGAAACATCTTCTCAAGACAGTGCCAGGAGTGGGGTACCGTACATGGACAACAATGCTTCGACGAGTAGCCTAGATTTACACCCCCTACGGCCGATGGGGAGTCCCGGCCCGACATACCATGATCATTCGTTCGATGAATTCCTAGGTTTCCTGCCGTCTACATCCTCACTGGCCCCTCAACCAAGTCCAAGCCTTGTGCCTCATTTCGGTTCACCGAGCGCAAGTCGCACGGAAAGCCCCGAACCCTTGTCTTATTTCACTGCACCCAACCAGGGCTCTGAGAGTCGCCGACTGGGTGCACCGCGCCGTTCATCACACAAGTGTGAACTCCCGTCTACCGTTGGCTTGCTACAGCTTGTCCACATATTTTTTGACCGAGTCCCCTTCGCCACCATACTGCTACATCGCTCTCGCTTTATTGCTTCCGTTTTGGACGGTCCGCTCCTGCCAACGTACCCCTGCTTATCACTGCTACATGCGATATGTGCCATTGCAGCCGTATATTCTCGTCTCGACCCTCACCTGCAGGTTCCTCTGTCTCGCACCATTTTGATTGCCCGAGTTGGATCGAGCACTGGAAAATCATCTTCATTTTGCCTGGATGCACGCGGGGGTCGCCAGGCACCATGCAGACCACGATGCTCGCACTGGATCCGGGTCTCTGGATGCTGCAAGAGCGTATGTGGTTTTAGGTTGGTACCATGTGAGTAATGTGATCGGCAAAATCAGCGCCTAGACTGACCTCCTAAACTTCACAGTATTTAAATGCATCGTAAGCCATTTGAGACTCTGATTGTTTTAAAATGGACGCTCACGCAATTGCATTCTCCTCTCGAAGCTGGTCGGATGTACGTAATCCTCTTCACTAAGTTCCCGTGCGTTTATCTGATTGATTGTCTATGAAGTGGTGGATGGTGACTGGCGCCGCTGCCAGATTAGCCGTTCCGCTCGGCCTGAATGTGTCAGCATTCATCAGCATGCATAATCCTCTCGACTTTGATCCTATCATTCCTCCGTCCCAAATCCCCCAAGACCAGGAACGAAACCGAGTACTGTTCTGGCTTGCTTTCATCAACGAGAAACAGTGAGTATATCGTTTTTCAGGGTCATTCCGCTGCATCACACGCACCACCTTCGTGAAATTCACAGTCAACAGATGAGTACCCAATGGGCTAGTTGCCTTGATGAAGCCGACATTGGTCAGGAGCTTCCAGTACCATTGCAGTACCTAGACTTAGGGGTTTGCTAATCCCACGCCACAGCCTTATGGTATCGCGCTAACTAGTTTCTGCTCACCCAGGACATCCCACGGGGATACCGCCAGAGACTGTTCGATTCGGACTTGTTTACAAATCATCCTCGCAACTTGACGGATCCATTCATCCTGCATTTAAAAGCAATGATACTGACGTCACGCGTTGGGGCATTCAATACCCGCGCACGAATCCGTCGACACTCAGACAGGAACAACTTGGCAATGTCGGGGTCCGATTCGGGTGTCGTCGAATCAAAGATTTTTCAAAGCCTTGATTCATCTATCTCTGCTTTTGTGGGAAGCATTCCCGGGGAATTTCGTGATGCCTATTGCTCGACAACATTCACTTGTACTCACGGTTTGGAGAAGTGTCCGACTTGTGGCGATCGGAACTTGAGATCACCTGTGACGACTAACCTGGGACACCTGTTTGAGCTGAATATTCTTCCGCATGTGTGAGTTCATTTCCTAGTGATTAACCACATGGACAATAAATTTATTGTGCTCTACGCAGTGCAACCATAATGCTTCATGAGCCTCGAATGGACATGGGAGCTTCCCACGATGACTCCCGGGAAAAAGTCCTTCATTCAGCTCGTTTAATACTAGATTCGATCTATAATTTGATGAGGAATTCATTGGACATGTCTGCGCTCCCTGGGTACTCGTTGTCTCATTGGATGTCGACCGGAAGAGTCTTGGGCCGTTTCTACGTGCGCACGTTGGAGCTTGGTTATGGCGAGGAGGCGGTGGTCATAAGGACGGAGATTGAAGTGCTTAGGTAGGTCATGTTTGTCAGCGCAGTTTCATTGTATTTCCTTTCTGAATTTTCATCAGCCAGCTAATGGGTCGCATAGGGGAGCGCATTCCCGTTGCAGCTCATTCACAGAAAGCGCTCGATGACATTATTCCCAAGGCCCACGCATTTGTCAACGACCGCAGAAATGGGACGGCGGTTCGTCTTGAACGACATCTATTCGGGAAATATGGACTTTTCTAGGACCAGCATTTCCTGTCCATTCACCAGCATATTCATATCAGTATGCCGGACTCTGAATTGGCCATTGACTGAGCATTTACATTAGCCGAGGTATATGGATATACAGTTAATTGCGCCAGTGTGGCAACTAATCATGTACAAGAGTCCTAGTAAGGTATCGACCGGCATTTAATATTAGTGATTGCGATCAATTTTCGATAGCGTACTATAATCATACCTTGGTATTTCATTGATTTGTCCTCGCAGTATTCTACACGCGTCAGGATGTCTAGATCTGACATAGAATCATGTATCTCATCCCCTAATGGAAATCAGGGCAGGAATGATGGGATCCATTCCTCCTGGATATCCCCACAGGCAATGTTGTAAAATCCCATATGCGTGCACCTCAGGCTTTCAACTTGATGATAGAAATACTGGATAAAAAAGACTAGGACAACGCCAAAGGAATCCATCTGACGAAAATTCCTTGCCGGTACTTATGGTTGGGAGGATAGGCCATCCATTCAGCTGCAAGCACTCGAAGGTGATAGGTGGAGCGCGGTCAGACTGAAGGGCCTAGTTAACGGATTAGAATCCTTCGTCAAGTCATCGCAAACAACTAAACTTGGGGTTTGTTAAAGCGTGGGCGAGGGATAGATTCAGAGGGTGTCTGCTTACTAAATTTCGTGACAAGTTCTCCCGAAAGCTCGCCGTTCGGGGAACACAAGGGTCGAACGCTCTTTGTGCCGCATAATGTAGCGGGGTATCTGTCGAGGAACGCGGTTTGAAGCCCCTCAAGCCCGGGAAGAAGTGGTGTCAGAAATTGAGGGGATGAAGACTGCCTCAAGGAGCCGAATTGGGTGAATGGCCTTAGCGAGCTGAGGCCTATCGCTCCTGAGTGATGTAGCGCATTGCGATGATGAAACTTTCCACATGCGAATTCTGATCCACTGTGGTCAAACTGATGTCGATGTGATAACCTTCCCGTTAAAGAGAGGCCACCGCCTATGTGATGACAGAGAAACAGGGAATGGCTTTGTCGCAAGCAGATTTGTGAGAGCAAGGGTGCAAAAACTACCGTCTCTGGAAGGAAATGGGTCAGTAAGTAAACAGTGAGTGGAAAGAACGCGATGGTGGTCAGCCCAGGTTTCCGTTCGCAGATGCAGGCAGTCCAAAGGAAGCTCAAATCGTAGTGAATTAACGAATCTGGAAATGGCATTCAGTCGGCCAGCTCCTGCGCTTTTAGAAGTCTGCCCGAAATAGTACTGAATGACTCGCAGATGACAGGGACAATAGATTCGGCCAATTCCGTTCAATCTGATCCTTTTTCATGCGAAATTATGTTTGCTTAACTCGATCATTTCTGGTACGCGTCCACCCTTACTTGCGCCAACGATCTTTCTCGTCGCACCTCATGTCGACACAAAATAATGCGGCAAACCCATCCAATGCCCCCGATCCTAATTCCAAAAGCGCCGGTGCGAGCCTTCCACGCGTTGCACGCCCATTGCCACTGAAAACGCGTTCCACTACTTTTGACATGATCGATCCTCAGCCAAGAAGGAGGCGAAACGGTTAGAGGCTCTTGCCAAAAAGGCAACCAAGCTCCCCAAGCAAGCCGCCGAGGCTGTGACAAGTGGAGAGAAGAAAAAGTCGGAAAAAGCGGTAGAGAAAGCCTCAAAGAAAGAGGAGGAGGAGCCGTTTGTCAACACAACTCCCAGGGGGGAGAAAAAAGGTATGATTTTTAGGACTATTTCTACACTTCACCCCTGAAACATCCCTCAAGATTTAAGCAAGCCTATGGCCAGCGGCTACAATCCGATCGCTGTCGAATCGGCATGGTACGATTGGTGGGAGAAGGAAGGTTTCTTCGCTCCCTCCCTTACGACAGACGGGGATGTCAGGCCTGAAGGATCTTTTGTTGTCGCGTTTCCGCCGCCTAACGTTACTGGGAGTCTGCACATTGGGCATGGCCTGACCGTGGCTATTCAGGACGCGCTCATACGATGGTACTACATTCCTCCTTTTCGCTCCCTTATTCAGAATGTTCACGACTTTATCCTAGGAATCGCATGCACGGAAAGACAACTCTCTGGGTCCCTGGCTATGATCATGCCGGATATCGACTCAGTCTGTTGTGGAGAAGCGACTCTACAAGTCGACTGGGAAGACAAGGCATGATTTAGGAAGAGAGAAATTTCTAGAACAAGTTCTTGAGTGGAAAAATGAGTATGGCGTTTGTATTTTTCGCCTCACGGCAAATGCTGAGGTCTCCGGTTTGCACAGCTACCAAGAGAGAATAACAAAGCAAATGAAACGTCTAGGGGGGAGTTTCGATTGGAGTAGAGTAGCGTTCACAATGAACAAGGTCAATTATTATTCTTGTGTTCCCGTTGCAAGTTCACACTGCTCACTTGTCGACCAATCAGACGCTGTCCGCTGCTGTGGTTGAAACGTTTTGTAGACTTTCAGAAGAGGGCATCATTTATCGAGCCAATCGACTGGTCAACTGGTGTGTTCAACTCAACACTACACTCTCAAATTTAGAGGTCAGAGAAATTCTCTTGTGACAATGTCCCAGTCTAACTATGGTATTCCATAACGAACAGGTAGATCAGAAAAAAGTAGAGGGGCGTACATTATTAAATGTTCCAGGATATGACATTAAAGAAAAGTTCGAATTTGGCGTCATCACTTCTTTTGCGTACCATATCGAAAACACTGGTTCGTTGTAGCTGTCTTCTATTGCATGTCATATCGATGACTATCGTGGTGTCCCAGATGAGAAGATTATTGTCGCAACCACCCGCCCGGAGACAATGTTGGGTGATACTGCCGTTGCTGTCCACCCGGATGATCCTCGCTACAAGGTTGGTTCCTTCTACGTTGCCTTTTCTGCATCACCACAGTACTTGTATTAGCATTTGCATGGGAAAGTCGCCATCCATCCATTTATTCCCGATCGCAGGATTCCGATTGTCACAGATGCCATCGCGGTAGACATGGAATTCGGAACCGGTGCTGTCAAGATAACGCCCGCTCACGATCCAAATGATTATGATGTTGGCATTCGTCACAACCTGGAATTTATCAATATTCTCAACGACGATGGGACACTGAATGAGAACGCTGGCAGATTCAAGGTGTATTTCCTCCCGTGCTTGTGACCCCATGGTAGCTGTTGACACGATTACAGGGACTGAAGCGTTTCCATGCTCGTAATGCAGTCGTAGAGGCTTTGAAAGCAATCGGGGATTACGTTGAAACTAAAGACAACCCGATGAACATCCCCGTGTGCAGTAAATCTGGCGATGTCGTTGAACCCGTTATGAAGCCTCAGTGGTGGGTAAACTGCAAGCCGTTGGCCGAGGAAGCTATCAAGGCATGGACATATCCCGCTGTCCTCGAACTCCCTTATGAACAGTTGCATGTCTCTACTAGCGAACGAAGGCCAGTGAAGTTCGAATTGCACCAAAAGCATCCGAAAATGAATGGTACCGGTGGCTTGAAGGCATACAGGATTGGTGTATTTCGCGGCAGTTGTGGTGGGGGCACCGTGTCCCTGCCTATTTCGTCAATGTGGAAGGCGAGGTTCAAGATGTGAGTATTTTATTTTATTTATCCTCTAGTTCCATATGCCGTTTTACTGTGCGTCTTTTAGCGTATCGACGATAAGAACTGGGTCGTAGGGCGTACTGTCGAGGAGGCTGCAGAACGTGCCAAACTTGTGGCTAGAGGCAAACCTTTCACCCTCGAGCAGGATGAAGATGTTCTCGATACGTGGTTTTCGTCCGGTCTATGGCCCTTCTCCACACAGGGATGGCCGGCTCAGACAGAGGACCTTGCACGCTTCTATCCTACGTCCCTGCTGGAGACAGGGTGGGACATTTTGTTCTTTTGGGTTGCGCGCATGGTCATGCTTGGCATCCGACTGACCAACAAGGTCCCTTTTGAAGATGTTTACTGCCACGCTATGATTCGAGATGCGCATGGCAGAAAGATGAGTAAAAGTCTGGGTAACGTCATTGACCCCTTGGATGTCATCCAAGGCATCTCGCTAGAAGATCTTCACAAGAAGCTCAGCGAGGGTAATCTGGACGAGAAGGAAATAGCAAAGGCTAAGGCTGGACAGAAGAAAGATTTTCCAAAGGGAATTCCCCAGTGTGGTACGGACGCACTGAGATTTGCTCTTTGTGCTTACACGTCGGGAGGTGCGTGGAACAGCTCGAATCCTCGAATTTTTTAGTTCGACTCTTGATTTCATGTTATCTTAAAAGGTCGCGATATAAACCTTGAGATCCTTCGTGTTGAGGGTTACCGCAAGTTCTGCAATAAATTGTGGAACGCTACGAAGTTCGCAATGCTCAAGTTCGAAGAAGGCTGGGTGCCCGAGCTTTCACATCAAGTACGAATATCCACATTTCGTTCCGAATAACACTGACTCTGTTTCCATTTACCTAGCCAACAGGCAAAGAATCATTGGCTGAGCGATGGATCCTTCACAAACTGAATATCGCGGTTTCTGACCTTAACAAGCAGTTGGCTGACAGGAGTTTCTTGGCAGCCACCGGGACTGTCTACAACTTCTGGTTGTACGAGCTTTGCGACGTATTCATAGTGAGATGTTCACTTTAACAAACTACCTTATCGATCAGTACTCAAACTTGATATTTAGGAAGCCATGAAGCCCATGACAGATGAGAAGGCATCACTTGAAACACGACGTTCCGCACAAAACACGTTATACACATGTTTAGATTTTGGTCTTCGACTTCTTCATCCCTTCATGCCATTCGTCACGGAGGAGTTATGGCAACGGTTGCCTCGAAGACCTGGGGATAACACACCGTCGATCATGGTGTCATCATTCCCCGTTCATGTCAGTGGAAACCTCGATTCTCTGATCATGATACTGATTAGATGATCGGCTCACTAGAATCCGGATTTTGTCTATCTTGATGCTGAGAGGGACTTTGATACTGTGTTTGCTGCAATTAAGGCCGTGCGATCCCTGGCGGCACAGTACAACTTGCAGACGAATATTCAGGCCATCATTCTTTCGACATCACAGAATGAGCATGGAATGTTGGCTTCTCAAGCTCCCACGATTGGCGCGCTGAGCAAAGGTTGCAAATCGGCAAACGTCGTGGCAGATTCAACTGAAGTGCCAACAGGTTGTGGATCCGTTGTGTTGAGTCCTACAGCAACCGTTTTTGTTTTGGTCAAAGTGAGCACAAAGGCATAATGTTCTTTGATCCAGCTGACAAGGCTGCCAGGGTCTTGTTGATCTTGACGCAGAGATCACGAAATGCGAGAAGAAGCTAAATCTGGCGAATCTGAATGCGGAAAAGATCCGAAAACTAAAGGCGCAGCCTGGTTACGAGCAAAATATTCCTGCCGATGTCCGGGCATCTAATGATGAGAAAGTAAGCAACCCCACACTACCCTGTATCATTTCCATGTTTCTAACTGCATCGTGCTTCGCCCAGTTGTCCACTTATGAGGCTGAGACATCTAATTTGCAAGAATCAATCGGAATGTTTAAGCGTCTAAAATAACGATCCATAAACCTGCTTTTGTATATAATTTGTAACGCGGGTACATATTGCTGTGCTGATCAGGTTTCGAATCATCTAAGGCGAAAGCAGAGGGCGGAGGCGAAGAGTGCAGATTGAGGAAATAACGCGGTACCAGCGATGTGTAACCACAGTTGGCAGAATATCGTGGAATGGTGGTATCATAGGGAGGAAGGCATGTTCAAATCAAAGTGAAGAGAACGAAAGCATAGCATACGTGTAGGACTATTCCAACTGCTGGTGTAGGACAGGACATGTTAAGAGGGGGGCTGCAGAGTGGGATGATTGTAGAGGCAACTTGAACGCAGCGGATAGTGGGTAGGAGTTGGGAGGGCAGCTAGATCAAGTCAAAAGGCCTGAACGATAGATTTGTCATCAATTGATGCGAGGATGATTTCCGATTTTAGGATTAGATACTGAAACGGTCGCAAGCGAAGAGGCAATGCTCCGTCGTTTCCAGTTGCTGGGGGCAGTTGGGCCAGTCGGCATGGTCCCACCTGGCGTAACCCTCGTCTACGGTGATATTAAGCCCATCAGTGAGCCAATGCCGAACTAGCAGGCCTTACGATGCCCTGTAACATCATGTTCTCATTGCCGATCATGAGAATGTGCAATTATGTGACTTCGGTTTGTTTCGGGTAATTAACGAATTAGCACGAGCGGATCAAACGACGTCGATGGCTCTCGGGTCCACGGCAACTCCGCCCGAGGGGGCTCGCACACTTCGACGAATGCTTGGTGATCACGTTTTCACTGGGCTCGGGCTTGCGCCGCAAGTTTCGCGAACAAGATTTTCTCCGACCTGGTTTCGTTCTTTGCGGTCAGCTCCGGTGCAAGATGGCAACATTACGAATGAGAGGCAGAATGTTCGAGATCATTGACGAGGAAGCTGAGTACTTAGGCTTCGTGCGGTTGGGCCGACCAGTCTCTATTGGAATAGAGGGTTTGGCTTCTATGTACCAGTATGGGGAACTCAGGAACAATTTTCCCATGTTGACGGCAGTCACAAGATGCGGACAAAGATGTGAACAACCGCGAGAGATGACAAGATCTTTGACCGCCCCAATCAATTTCGCTACAATGTGCCACCCCGCAGCAAGCCAGAGCCAGGCATCTTTTCACGGATGCCCAGATGGGGGTAGTGTTTGCGTTCGAGAGGGTGAAGAGGAGGCTGGGCAAAGGCTAAGGACGTTTTAAAAAAGCGCCCAAGCGGTAGCGTCACGAGATGGGGGGCTGAAAACCAAGGCCCGAATTGGGCAGTGCCACGCCCGCAATATCCAGCCTGAGAGCTGCGAGGAGCGTCAGAGATATGAGTTTGACTTCGTATCTAGACGCTGCGTCGGCAGCATTCATTGAGGAATTTCGACGCGGTTTGACCTCAGTGCGAGATCTCAGCGGCCAATTTAACCATGAGGCAAAGGCGCTTAAGGCGTCAGGGGGTTACTCGTCTGTATATGTCACTCAATGGGAGCCTCCAGATGAGAACCCCATCCTGGTGAGTCTCCAACTCTCACTGGCAGAATAGCGAGGCGATAATGACACCCCTGTCTCTGATCAGGTATGTTACAAGGAACTTCGTCCGCCAGCGAGCAATGCACCGTTGCAGGTTAATCTAACGAGGAAAACGATTAGGGTAAGGGGCTGCTTTTGGCTTAGTCCATCATTATGAATTAACAGTGTTCTTAGCATCTAACTCGAGAAGTCAAGATATTGCAAACGCTCAGCCATCCCCACATCATCGAGTTTATCGGTTATGCCATCGAAGGCGAACGATGCGATATGAAGGCCGTCCTGATATCCAGGTGGTGTTCAAATGGGGACATCGTTGATTATTTGCGACGGCACCCAGACTCAAATCGGGTCGCACTGGTGAGATCGATCCACAAAATAGGGGTCAGGTTTGTTGACTCGTATGTTGAATCAGATTCGGGATATGGCAGATGGACTGCAATATCTTCACAATCAGGTTCCTACGATAATTCACGGTGATATCAAGCCTGTCAGTGCGTTGATGCCAAATTAGCTTGAAAACATGCCTCATGATGTGTCCCTGTAGCACAACGTCCTTATCAGTGATTATGGAAATGCCCAATTGTGTGACTTCGGTTTATCTCGGGTAATTAACGAACTAACAATAGCGGATCAAACGACATCGACGGCACTTGGATATACGGCCAGATACTCTGCCCCCGAGGTTATCATCGAGGAGGTCAAGACAGCAAAGAGCGATGTCTACGCGTTCGGATGTACCTGCATACATGTGCGTGTTTCCCCTGTCGAATTCATGCCTTAAAAGGGATTGAACCGGTAGACAGATACTGTTCAGCCAGACTCCTTATCCTACACTTAGAAATGATTTACAGGTGATCACTGCTATTGGATCCGGGAAATCGCCTTGGAACTGGGATACAGGAGTGCCATTAGAATGTCTTCTCAAACATGCTGCCATCTGGAGCAAGAAGCTCGACCCTCAATAGACGCCGTTCTCAGTGAAATTCATCTTGTTCATGCTCCGGTTCACCTGGAATTCGCCACTGCATCTGCTAACGATGGTGTCCCAATGGAAGCCCCGCATGAAGTATCTCGGGAGTTGCCGCTTGCCGTCCCTGACATTAATGTTCCTCGGCAAGGCAGTCCTGAGCCAGGTGCTACAGGAGGGCAGGATGACTCGTTCGCGAAGACGACAGATGAACATAACCAGACAAAAGAAAGAGTTCCCGTCCTCGGCGGTTCGCACATTGCTGCGCCGGATCCTAGAGCCCTTGTTGCTGTTACACCCATGATCACCACCTCTAGCAAGGCAGATTATATGGGAAACATATCCTCGTCGCTCCCGGTGCGCAAGGAGTCGAGTATAAATAATGGATTCACGGGGATTGCGCAAGATACGCCGACTGGCAGTTCGAAGTTGAAGAGAAGTCGGACCGAGACGCACACCGAAAACTGGGCGGTGACTCCTCGTGTCCTTGTTGTCGAGGATGATCTTGTAGCAAGGGGACTTTCGAGAAAATTTCTGCAGGTGACCGGATGTGCAATCGACGTTGCTGAAGATGGGCTCAAGGCGGTCGATAAGATGAAGTCAAAGAAATATGATTTAGTCTTAATGGTGCAGTGGTGATTTAGCAATCAGCTCCGCCGCATCGATAACAAGACCTTTTATCAGGATATCATGATGCCTAGGCTGGATGGAATATCGGCGACGACCCTGATTCGGAAATTTGACCAGATGACACCTATAATCTCGATGACGACAAATTCAAAGCCAGCAGAGGTTGAAACCTACTACTCAAATGGTGTGACCAATTGATCCAAAAGGATATGTCCAATTGACGGACTCCACTCTAGGGATGAACGATATTTTACCGAAACCATTCACTCTGGATACCATGATTGATATCCTTGATGTGAGACAGCCTTTGCTTTGAACAAAGACTGCTCATTGCTTTACCCATAGAAACATCTCAACCATCTCAAATGCATGGAGGACCATGCAGAGTGTCACAATTCCCTGTTTAAAGATGATGAGGTGATTGTCCAGGAAGGGATCCCAACTGCTTTGGGTAGCAACATTGATGCTGGGGAAGATTACCATTTTTTTCTGCCAATTTCTAGGTCACCGAATTCAAAATGTCAAGGTACACCAGTGAATTACTCTGCACCAGAGTCACTTGATTAGTAAATTTCTGACACTGATTTCAGTTTAATATCCTATTCCTGCTACTCCATAGTGGGCCCTGCAAATTTTTTGCCTGGGACTGGGTTTGTTTTCTGACAAGGTCCTCCAACTAGAGTGCTTGCGCTTTGCTGGACTCTGCACTTTCAGTTACCTGTTATATTGCAAGATGGTGAAGTAAACATGTTTATTTGCTGTTCTCAGAACAAGAGATGAATTTCAAGATACAAGAATATGAAGTTACAAAAAAGTCGCCATGGTGTTTGAAAGGCAGCAAGTGAATGACATTGTGGGACATTGGCCTACAAGATGAGCTGCTGAGAGTGATAATGATCTGTACTACACCACAATACTGGCTCTTTGTAAGCCTTGGTGTAGGAGAGAGGATTTCAAGAAAACAGAGGAAACATGGCATGTGTCATATCCATACCTACTCCACTGTAAGGTCGGTTGAGGTTCCGACCTTGGTGTTGACTCCTGCTATCCTCAAGCTGTCAGGAATTAGGCAGTATAGAGCTGTAATTTCGACAGGGGAGGAGAAGAGTGAAAACCTGTTTCACCCTTCCCCGCAATTTATATACATTGTTTACATCGAGAAATAAAGAGTAATAAACAATGAATAAAGAAAGCGTGCACAGCACGCATCACCACACATCCATTCCCTACATCCACCTAACCTCCGACCTACTCTGCCACCATTCTGGTTCACCTCCGGTTCCTCTCCCTCACCTCCACCATACCCTCCGGTATACCTCTGGTCCACCTCCACTGTTAGAACTGGGCGAGGGCGGACGATTCCGGAGCAGAACCGGAGGAGGGACCTTGGCCTCAGCGACTCAAGTGGAGCGCTGTGCCATTGCTGTTTGTCAATTTGGTCCTTAATTTCATAGGAGGCGAGCAGGAAGTCTCTAGGGGGCATTTCAGGTCGATTTTAGACTAAGGACTAAAATGAGTATGTACAAGCGCCGATATATATAATGGAGAAGGCGAAAGCACAGGGAAACAAAGGGGGTCCGAATCGGAATGAAGGCGTCCAAACAGGAACAAAGGGATGACAGAAGTGGAGTGGTACCGAGGGTCATAGGGCAGAACCTGTGGTAGGTCCGAAAGGAGGTAAGGAGGGCGAAGCCCAGAGGGGCAGGAGGATGAGGGGAAGTGGGGATGATGACTAACTGGCTAGAATGGGAAGAAGCAGCAGTCCAAATAGGGATGAGGGGAAAATGCGAGAGATACATTACAAGCAGCAAAAGTGCCAAAGATGATCCGTGGAGCTTGGAGGTTGCAGAGCTTACGGAGGTTACGGAGGCAGGGTTGAAAGTCTGAGGAATATTGGCAATGGTGTTTACGTAGTATGAGGTCACCAATGCAATGGACTAAAGCCGAGGTGGAGTCAAAGTCCGAGGTAGGAGCTATGACGGAGTCTTGGAGTGAAGGTATGAGTGGTGTCCAAGTATGAGGTACAGGACAGCAGCGGAAGGTCATAACTTGGCAGAAGGGCAGCGGAAGAGGGCCAGAGGGAAGAGAGAGAGGAAAGAGGAAAGAGGAGAGGAGTGGAGGAGAGGAAAGGTGTCAGGTCCGAAGGTGAGTGTCAGAGCGGATGGGAGAAGGGTAGGAGAGTGACGGAAGGGTGGAGGTGTTGTGAGGAGGAAGAGGAGGAGTGGGAGGAGGAGTAGTAGGAGGGTGGCGAGAGGGGTGGTGTTCGGTCCGAGGTGGGTATCGGAGTGGATGGAGATAGGACAGGAGAAGGAATGGAGGAGTGGAGGTGGCATGGGAGGTGAGAGGAGGTGTGGTGCCAGGACCGAAGGTGAATATTGGAACGGACAGCGGTAGGGTAGGACTCCGGAGGTGGTGATGGTGGAGGTCCAGGAGTTGGTTTGGGATTGGGTATGCACAGATATGACATCCACCTCCAATCTCTGGTACCTTCTCCAGTACCTCTTATCCTCATCTTAGACGTTTAATAATATTTCTACCTACCCAATATTACTATGGACCTCCTAGGACCTCTGCCAACCCTGCAAAGGTTTTCCCACTTCCCAATAGCTGTCGCTAATTCCACCCTTCACCTACCCACTCCACAATGCTCGATAAGGCGATTCTCTCATGAGCTTGCTGACCCAGCAAGTGGGTAAGTCCCTCTTGGGTTTTCCCTTTGTTCCCATTTGTCTCTTATTATGTATATAAGTCCTGTACTGTAGTTGATGGTAGGGCTCCTAGCGGATCGGATGATCTGCGGATATCCGCAACCGCATCCGAAAATTCACGGATCCGGTTTTGGATTTCCAGTGGATAGTATCTGTGGTTTCTAATCCGCAGATGGGTGGATTATCCACGGATTTATTGTCGCCTACTGTTCTAGATACCCCTCCTACATTTCTATATTTTTTTCCTATTTTTTTCAAGTCTTAATTGACCACCCAGGCCCGTTATTTCCAAATTAGGCATTTGACCTCCAAGTTTTCCCCATATTTCCATCAGTTCTCCACCAATATGAACAAATTTGGTATTGTTAGAAAGCTCTCATCAAGGACATTCTGACGAAATGCAATTTCGGAACATTTTATCTACAAGCTGCGGTTGATCCGCATATCCGCGGATTTCTAACCACTGGATATGGATTTTGTTTCAAACCTCTAAATATCCGCGGATTCTGATCCGGATCCGATCTGATCCAATCTGCTAGGAGCCATAGTTGATGGCACCTTAGTGCAAAATTGACAAACGACTATCCCCCAGAGTTTGCACCCCTTGTTCTGAAGTTAAGGACTAGATTCTTAAGCATAACTGAACATAGGCACAGCGCTCCTCTCTGAGTCGCTGAGGCCATGGTAATCCTGCCCATTCTCTACCTCCGGCCTCCCTTCCAGGGAAAGGTCCAGGCACACTGCCCCTCCTCACTGTGTCCCTGACAGCATGAGGCATACCTTCAATTGGAGGCAGCAAAACCAGAGGCAACTTATGTGGTGCCAAACCTCCAATACTGTTACAATTGAAAAGATGCCACAGACAAGCAAAATCAGACTAATATGAGTGGCATTGTTGGAAGTTGTTGGAGGGCAGCGCATATATGTCATGACCATGCACTCTGACCTGGATGCCGGCCCCTTTTTGTTTATTTGTCACCTGACCCATTCAGTTTCCTTACTATATATACTTGTATATTACATCATCATAACTTTAGTCTGAATATCGACTTGGTTTTCACCCCCTCAACAAGGCAGCCTCAAGTCACCTTGAAATGTGGGCACTGAGACAGTAGGTGGGCACAGTGCTCCTTCAGAGTTGCTGAGGCTGAAGCCCAACCCCCTGGGGCCTTGTTCCTTGAGCCGCTGACCTGGTACCTAACAATATAGTGCCGAAAGGCACTAGCATGTGACCCCTTCTGGACATTGCCAGAAGGTTTGGTCTGACCGAGTTTACTTGGTTAGACCATGTGACTTGTGGGAACAAGTCACACTTTCTTCCTTCTTTGGCTATTTGTCAGGGCCTGGCCTTCGTTCCGTGATGGGCCCAGGGGGATCCTCCTAGTCACTGGGGTATCTAGTCCCAGTCCGAGATCCTCAAACTCACTGAGGGAGCTAGCCCCAGCCTTCACAGGAAATGAGTTGAGAAGAAGGGTAACCTTCTCAACCTCCTGTGAAGCCGCTACAAATGGGAGTCAGAAACTATACAGTTTTCGGCTCTTTGCCGACTTTCCATAATTGGCACCCCCGTGGGAAGATTCTGGGCAAGCTGCTTGCCCAGAAAGTTCCCACAGTTGTGGCTGTGATGGTTTCTGGGTGAGTAACTTGCCCAGAATGTTCCCACGGGTCTGCATGCATGCGGGATTGTGGAACAGTGAAGGGAAAAATAGGAGAAAATGGGGGAAGGGTACCTGAGGGTGTGTGGGGTCAGGGGCTGTGCCCTGACACTATTTCAGACTTATCTGTGAAAGCCACATACTATTTGAATTAGTTTATTTTTCCTCAGTTCTCGCACATATAGTGAGACTGAGGTCAGTTACTCATCCTTCACTTCTTATATCTTATACTCATTGTATGTTACCTTATATTTAGGTAATATAATAGTTCTTGTGCATATAGTGAGACTGAGCTACTATATTTAGCTTCACTTTTCCAGCGGTTATTCTGTTAGAAGTGAAGACAGGACTGCAGTCAAAACTGAATCAGAACAGGAAACAGAAGGAGGTGGGGTGCAACATAGTGGAACAGAAGTGGACTTCTGATTCATAGCACAGCAAACACAAATGAGAGGTTGATGTCAGCACTTTTGATTGGCATGGAGCTTTGGTGGGACATGACCTATTCAAATTGTCGTTTGTAGAAGGGGTGGCAGTCATTGGAATGGCCTTGATGTATTTGTGAGTTTTATTTCCTTCATTGTCCAATCAGATGCAGGATCTAACACCATTCCTCAGTTCTCATGCATGAAACACAGTCCTGCTGTGTGTGTCAGAAACAAGTGTTTCACCTTAGAAGATCTGGAGGGTCCCATGCCTAAGAGGGGTCCATTCTTTTCCATCTGCAAAGATACTACTGTACTGGCATGACCAACAACTGGTTCCCATAGGTGCTATGTCATTCATTCCGATTGCGGCTGGCTGTCAGGGACTAACCTGGGGTCGAGAGTGTCCA